AAAGTCATTTAAAACAGGAGGTAAGACAATGGCAGTGTTCCTGGATCTGGAACAGGCATATGACCAGTGCTATCGGCCAGCAGCTTTGTATAAAGCAGCTAAACTAGGATTTACCGGAAGAACCTATAGATATATCCGAAGCTTTCTACAAGAAAGAACATTTTCAGTACTAGTTAATAACGAAAGATCACAAACTTTTGATCAGGTGAATGGAATCCCTCAGGGTGCTGTAATATCCCCTACCCTATTCAGTATATTAGTAAACGACCTGATGATGCCATCACGAACAAAAGACACAGGACTAACTCAATTTGCGGATGATTGTGCAATCTACCACAGCCATAATCAGATCCCCTGCGCTAAGAGAAGATTGCAGAAAAGTCTAGACGAAGTTGCGCATTGGATGGGAAAATGGGGATTTAAAATCAACGTCGACAAAACAGTAAGCATGATATTCAACTTTAAAAGACAGCTTAATTATGACCCAGAAGTAACGAGACTTCAAATTAATGGTAGAACAGTTCAGCGGACACGTTCGACGAAATTTCTAGGAATGATTCTGGATGAGCAAATGACCTGGGCTAAGCACATCGATGATCTCGTAGTAAAGTGTACAAAGTACAATAATATGCTGAGAATGATTAAAGGGAACGGATGGGGAGCACACCAGGATACCCTAATACAATTTTATAAAGCTTTCGTTAGGGGCAAAATGGAATACGGAAGCATAGTATACGAATCAGCATCAGAGAACAGCAAATGCAAACTTAATAGGATTCAGTGCAAAGCCCTGACTTCCATCATGGGCGCTGGTAAAGGGACATCAAGAGAGGCCATGGAGGTAGCACTAGGCATCACACCGCTTAACCTCAGAAGGAAACAACTTACTTATAGCTATTGGATGAAAGCGGCCAACGATGCCAGACACCCAGCTTCAGACGCTTTTCATCATAACATTACCCACCTAGGTGACAGGCCGGTCAGAGACATACAGAGACCAGCAGCCTGGGACGCCGCACTAGAAATTAACGATGATGAGGACTTAGCTAGGACTCTAGAGGCAAGCGTTAGGTTTATCCCTCAAATCCCTCCATGGAGACTAGAGCTGCCCAGGACAGACATGAGTCTGATGAAAATTATTAAAAAGAATACTGAAACATTTGAAGCCAAAGCAATAACAGAAGAATACATAGACCAGATCCGATCAGACAATCTGGTTGCATACACTGACGGATCTAAGAATGAAGCAGGAGAAGTAGGAGCAGGAGTAATAATCCCACAGTGGAATATACAAAGAGAATATAAAATAACAGATCATGCGGCAGTATGCACAGCAGAACTAGTCGGCATAATGAAGGCACTAGAGATGGTAATTAATAAACCTCCAACTAAATTTACCATACTGACAGATTCATTGTCCTCGGTGCAGACGTTAAAAACATAAAACTAGCAGTAGACCAGATGTTAAAGAGACAATCCTAAATCTAACAACTCAGCTCAAGAATAAAGGATGCCAAGTCACCATTGCATGGGTACCAGCACACAGAGATGTAATAGGCAATGAAAAAGCTGACATAGCAGCCAAAAATGGAGCAAAATGTGATGTTTTAGTAGATGTAGGACTCGGAAAAACTGAAAGGACCAGCATAATCAAACGACATATAATTAAAATGGGGAAACTACAATGGCAAGGGAGCAATAATGGCAGAGATGCCTACAACAACCTTAAAGAGCCCAGCCTTAACACACAGGTACGGGACAAACTGAAAATTCCAGCTAAAAAACTACTATGGAGAGCTAGATTAGGGTGGCACCCAGAGAAATTTACATCTCCACTATGTCTGGACTGCTTTCAAGATAATACACTAGAGCATTATATAATAAACTGCACTAAATATAAATTGGAGAGGAAACCCGCTGAAGAGTTTTTTTCTAAAACGCAAACAACAAATTACTGCAAACAAATGTTTAAATGTAGATAGCAATAAAGACATCCAAAAACTGGTTAAACAATACCTTATTAAAACAAATCAAAACTAAAAAGACCAGATTAGGGATTTACTCAGTATAACAGAAGGAACTGATGAGATGGTAACCCCGGACATCCTAGAGTCAGAGAGATAGTGTAAGTATGATGAGTGCATAGATGTGAACATGGACACATACACAAGGATGAGTGCGTGTAGTATGAGTGCATTTGTGTATAGGATGGATACATAAGACACAGTGTATGTAGGCGGATGGTACGGAATCACGTGTGGACAGAACAGTGGGAATATAGTTGTGCGAAAGGTACAGATGAATGAGTACATGGATTTAAATGTATTACTGTATGCATGTGTATGTGGGTATGAGTGTGCATGTGTGTATATATATGAGAGCGTGTATATTTATATATTTGTGAGTGTATGAATGACAGTGTAATCAAAGAAACCATAAACTGTGTTGCTGTATATCTGTCCATTAATGAGAACAAATGGAATGAAGGGTGTAAGCAGCAAGAACATCATCAACGCACACCATCCATCAGAACATGATACGTCAGTACCGGACAGGTCACATACCAGTAACGGGACATAACTTAAAAGTGACACGACCAGACGAAATTACAGACAAAGCGACACAAAACGCATAAGACATGGAAGAGTGAATATCACTACGTGTGGATGTACTCGTTTTTATGAATGTAAGTACAGGCATTGGTAGACGCCTATGAAAGAGTTTGCGTATGTACGTAATGTCAATTAGGTATGCATACGGATAAGTATGAAAGGACGTGCACATGTGTAGTGTTGTCTGCATGTATGAGTACTCGAGTGCATGTACGCATACACCTAGTTGGGTGCGTCCATATACTCCGGGAATTCATACACAAAACCATCCCACTCCACAGCATGCATACAACATGCACATGACCGACAGGACTCATAACAAAAATATGACTGACAGCAAATAGGGAAAACAAGTGACTCGATAATGACAGGACTAGAACGCATAACCTCCAATTCCACCCCATCACTGGGATGATAGCAAAGGTTGGTAACGTGATACACATAGTCCCGGCAAAAAGCCACGCTAGAATCCAGCAAGACGGCAACGACGAGAATTGACTGAATGGCCTCCCGCTCCCCTTCCCCCCACCTTTCCCTAACTCTTTCGGATGCACTATGAGTTTAACCCCCCAACCCATTCCCACAGAGAGCACTTGAGTTCTTTGCCCAACATGCCACAGCAATTCTCATCGCCGAACATTTGGATCTCAAAGCGTGAGCTGGACGGTCCGGTTATGTGGTATTTACGTACACCGGAGCTTAGCTATCAACGCAACCCGATCACATAATAACAAATGACGACTGGACCCGCTTAAGACTCCACATAAACTCTCACACACATATCCATTACATGACTAACCCGTTCATATTACAGGAAGACAACTATAAGACCACTATGGTCACACGCGGAAAATTTTCACATTTCGGAACTATTCACATAAAAAAACTGTTTTCAGTACTTTTTGGCAAAATTTAAATACTCAAAATTTTAAAACAATAAATGGCGGCCGAAAGGACGTTGTGTATGGAAACTCGCTCTCCTTCGAGATACGCCTAGCCAGATCAAAGGGAGACAGAACAAACAGGAAACACCAAGAATGAAGAAGGAAGACATGCACCAGTGACAACAGGACGAGCGGTTTGATTCGGATGGAAGCATTAAGCCAGAAATGGCACAAACACCAGTATTCAGTCACGAAAGTGACGCAAATAACCCAGACCACAAATATAGGCGGAGACTGTTAGCAGCTTAGGCTAGCTAGCAGCAGTCTGAACGTGGTCGAGCTTTTTTTTTTTTTTTTTTCTCAAAAGGACTTGGACTTGGACGAGAAGCAGACGAAATTCATCGGAATTCTTAACATAAGTGAATGCATGTCGCTTAGTGCAACAAAGCCTGGTATGTGATACCACATGATCTAGTTTGAGAATGGAGATAGAGGCGGTCACAGCAGTCTTCCGCTGGCCCAAGAGCCAGCCATGAATACATGTCGTTGTAACTGATTCACAGAGTATGCTGAGAAATGTGGAGACAGATATGATCCTAGAAGAGTGGCAAGCATCGCTTCGGAGATTCTGGGTAGTTAGCGTCCTTTGGATATTTTCTCCAGGCATGCTGGGAAATGAACAGGCAGACAGACTATGCTGAACACTTAAGGGGAGGACGAGACGAGTATACAGACTCTAATGCTGGTACCAGTGGAACTGGAACTCTTATTGCTACTAAAAATGGGGACGGGGCGTTTATGGGAACTTGTCTAGTGCTGTGATGTTGATTCCTGATTCAACTCCTGCTGGTGTCTTACTCCACAATGAAGAACAATTGATTTACAAGTATGTGGGTGCTTTGCTGGGGGGGGGGGGATCGTCACGTTCAACCAGCATTCACGAAGGGGGAGTTTTAGGTTATAATTGTGACAAGGTTATGCCACGCTTAGCATTGCATTTCACCAAAAGCCCTGAAAAGTATTCTTGTAGTGTTGATGCGATCAAAGGAGAGTAACCCAAATACTGTCTACCAGTGAGCCAATGGGTGACCCTGTCGCCGATGAACTGATCTGCAGAGTACTTGCTTGCTTGTTGTACTCCACCAAGACATCACACACACGCGATAAACTCCTAGTGACACAAAGTGCCACCATGCGGATGAGAATCACCCATGGAGAGGTCTCAGAAACCCCTTTCAGCCGTCATGCTATATTCAGGGCCCCCGGCTAAAGACAGGGTGGGGTTTCAAATAACGAAAAATTGCATCAAAATGACGACTTGTAAATAGAATAGTCACCACCTTATAAGGCACTCATCACAATAAAAGTTTAGTATTTAGCAGTTTCCGTGTAACTCTTCATTTCCAGAGGTGAAAAATCGAAAACATACCCGTAACAGTAGAGACGAGGCTATAGAGATTCAGCAGTGTTTATTTGTTGTTATATTCTATATTGAAGGCACAAAATGCCTAGATACGCTCAATTAGTGATTGGTCCTGCAGGTAGTGGTAAGGTAAGTTGACCCGAATCACGTGAAGTATAACTGCTACTATAGAAATAAATTATTTTTATAAAATTATAATTAAGGCTATCCTCCGAAAAACGGTCCTAAATTATCGAGGCCGAAAATACACTACTGGTACTGGGCCTCAGTCACATGTAAATTGCGGCCCTTTTTCAGGCGACTACACAGCATACCGCGGAAATACTTCCGCCGAGTTAAAGTCACCACCAAGAGCATCTCCCGCGCCACTACGTGCGGTTCAGAGCAGGGCTAAACTAATGGCTGGAACTCATGAACTATGAAGTATGAGGATAAAAGTTAAAACGATTTTGAAAATTTGACCAAAGTTGCTATATGAACTATGAACAGCAGATACCTGCAGCTTCCTTAATTTTATTTGCTTGTGAGTCTCAGCCATCTAGTTTAGTTCTACTCCATGCCATGCATAGCGACGCTCGAGATACTCTTGGTGGTGGCGGTATAGTCAGCAAGAAGTCTGTAATTTACTTGTGACTGAGGCCCTGTTATGTTAGAGTATATTTTCGACCTCGATAATTTGGGACCGTTATTCAGAGGATAGCCATTTAGAAATTAAAATTCACTATCAGAATGTTTGTGATTTATTGTTTATAAAAAACTTCACTATCACCCTTATTATGACTATCATCTGTGAATATAATTTAGTCATAGGGATGCTAGTGAAATTTATATATTTAGTTTTTACTTTATAAATATAGGTACCTTAGTCAAATTTTTACTTGTCTGCTTTATTGCCCCATTCATCCACATATATTGATTGTCCCCACCCTGGTCTTAACCTTCTGCTGCCTCCTTAGAAGAGCTGCAGGAGTTTAAGGAAAGACAGAATACGACATCAGACGAATGCTAGGAAGGAAGCCAGTCTTACAGGTCATCAAAGAATAACAAATGAAGTTGTTTAGTCACCTAACAAGAATGCCCTGGTACCATCTACCACAACGAGCCACACTGAAATGTTACAACAGGTATAGAGCGAGCAGAAGAGCAGAAAAGGTGGTATGATGACATTAAGAACAGCCTTACAGAAATAAACAACAGTCTTAATAATGCTCTTGACAGCTCATCAACAAACGTCACATCTATCACCCCCCCCCCCCCCCCCCCCCCCCCCCCCCCCCCCCCGCCACTTCACTGAGGTACAAGGTGTAAAGGAAGAAGAAAGAGAAGTCAAAATTTAATAATTACTTTTAGATAATGGATAATGTAACTAGGATTGTAGGATAGGTATTATATTGACAAAATTAAAAATGCAATCCAATGGTACCTCATTCAAGTCAGCACGTCAATTCTAAGCCAAGATCTGTCATTATCTATCACAGCTTCATTATCTTACCTTGTCATTGCGCATAATTTTTTCTTTTTATGCAGAGTTTGCAGATAAACATATGTTTAGCCGCATTCTGATGGATATATATAATTTAGCCTTAAGTAACATCAGTAAGAGAAGTAACTCGTTGGCTTCAGTGGGTGTGAAGTCAGAAGCATGTATTCTAGTACTGTTTAGTCCATGAATGCTGTGGGCGTGTGGCCATGGTAGTTACATCTATCCACAACCTTTCGTCTCATGTACTTTCAGTCAGTTCTGACAGATGATCTTTCTTGCCATGATGTCTTTTTGTAAGTTAACAAAAGGTGTTCTCGTCATTTTTCTATAAAACATCATACCTGGAGCTTTCACATACTTTTTCTTTTTTATTTGTGAGCTGATTGTCAAGGAATCACTTCCATAGATTAGGATTGCCCGTGCATCACTTCCATATATCAGAAATGTTTCTGTATAGTGCTTAAAAGTATTTATTCTCGCCTTAGTTCTAGTATTATTTAAAAATATTGTCTGTAAGCAGAGCTTTATTATTTCTTATGGTACGTAACGATACGCAGTACCGACACCTTCTTATGCTTCTGTTTTTTTTTTCAGCACTTCTGTAATAGAGACTTTTTGTGTTTTGCAGTCCACGTATTGTAGCAAACTGGCAGATCATTGTGAAACCATCAAGAGATCAGTGCAGGTGGTTAACCTTGACCCAGCTGCGGAACACTTTGATTATCCCGTCATGGCAGGTAATATTCAAATATATTTACGTTAAAAAACAATTAAATATATTTTTTTAAATGTTGTGTATGCATTTTTTAGGTGGGCTTCTAGGAACAAAATGCCATGGACTATGTTGTGTGTATCAGGAAGGAAATGAGAGTGAAAGAAGAAATGAGTGCAGAAAGGATTAGAGCTGAGCGTCTGAAAAGAAATGAATTAAACACAAATGTTGACAACAGTGGTCCTGAAATCCCATGCTATCATTGTGGAAGACTTTTCTTGAAATGGGAGGGTCTTGCTAGTCACATTCGCCATGGGCTGTGAGTCTCATGCCTCCTCATAGCGCAGTATAAAACTATCGTCTGGAAAGGCGAAAAGGTGCCAATCAATCAGTTGTATGCATTTTTTTTTTTTAAACTACCGCAGCCATCCCCAAAAATTGCCACATCTCTGTGAGTTAAGTTTTGGCTATAAGACTAAAAAAAATCTAAATGGTTTTGGAATGACAGTGATAGCACGGCTGAACTTGAAGAAACAATAGGGCAAACACAGGTTTTGGTTTAGACGACGGATCAACATCACGGCACAAAGGGTAACCCATAAGTGCTCCGTTCTACTCCTGACTCAAGCCCGAGTCGGAAGAATCTCAGCACATTGCACAAACTCCATAGCACCAGCAGAGATCCTGAAATACTTTGGTTAGATTTTTAACTCTAAATTATTGTCTGGGCAGCGCCATTAGGCTACTACTCTTTTAGATTTCCAACTGCCAGAGGCTTTTTTTTTAAACCTGCACAACAGTACACACTGGCGTTCTATCTTACTACCCAGAGACCAGGGAAAATTACTAGAAGTCCTCGTGAATAAATCCTATCCTTCCTGGACCCGGAACCTCCAGAGCTCGAGGCCGACGCTATGCCTTGAAACCATGCAGCTCCCCCTTACAGAACACATAAAACCTGATAACAAACTAGTATATCCTTACATTGAAACCCACAGGGTCATAGGACTAGAGGAAGGCCACACCCAAAAAATAAACACGGATGTGATCACTAGAATGCAAAATAAAAAGATATTTGGTGAGCTGCACGCAGTAGCAAAGAATATGGTGCTTGTTGAAGGCTCATACTCAAGGGAGGTATGGTGGCAAAAGAACATAAAAATAAAACAATACTGAATAAGCTTTGAAAGATCTTCTCCATGAATTTTATTTTTGCAATATTTTTGCTCCCTTTATTAAATGTTATTTCTTTGTTTATCAACTTCAAGATGTCAGAGATTTGATTCAAATTGATGATGCGATGGAGGACACAAATTTACATTTTGGACCAAATGGCGGTCTTATATTTTGCATGGAGTGAGTACCATTTGACTTCATCTTTTCATATTCATCAATTCTTCTTCTTCTGTGTTGAATATTGAATAAAGAATCAACATCATGGCACTTGCGACACTCCATTAAGCGCTCCATCTCCATTTTCAGCAGCAAGAGAAAAGTTCCAATTTCAATGGCACCAGTAACTGTTTGATTTTTTCAACGTCTCGCCTTTCCCCGGAGTGTTGAGCGTCAGCCAGATCCCCTGGTAATTCCCTGCAGCGCCATTCTCCTCAGAATTTAATGATCTGTTTGTGCTCCTACGCTGTTCACTAACTCTTAAAGGACCTCCCAGCATCAAGCTAATCATACATCAGTTCACCACCAAGTGGTACAGAACCGGCCAGTCTGTCTGCCTGCTCATTTCCCAACACACCAGTATTTTCCACAGAAAATATCAAAAGAACGTTAACTACCCTTCTTCATCTGTTTTCACCCTGAAAAGGGTGGTTGGGAAATTGTGTTATGGTTCACAGCAAGGGTACAATATCTGCACCTTCCGGCCCAACACATCTGATTTTAGCAAACTCCTTATTAGACACCTTTTATAACCTGCTTGTTATGAAGTCCGGGGTCTGCGCCCCCCTCTTTGTGCAGATGGATATAGAAATCTTGAAAGGAGAGACTGAGAATGATAGACGTAATTATCTGTGGAAAAATTATGTCATCCATGCATGTACCTTAGAGAGTCTGATCATTATTAGGCTGTTAATTTACATTTGGTGATTGATTCACATTTATGATTGATCAAGACAAGATATGGAAGATATTTATGATTGAGCATGAGACAGGGTATTGAATACATTTATGATTGAGCGAGACAGGGTGTGGAATACATGTATAATTGAGCACTAGACACGGTATGGAATACAATTATGAATGAGCGAGACAGGGTATGGAATACATTTATGATTGTGTGCGAAACAGGGTATGGAATACATTTATGATTGAGTGCGACAGGGTGTGGAATACATTTATGATTGAGCAAGACAGGGTATGGAATACATTTATGATTGAGCGAGACAGGGTATGGAATACATTTATGATTGAGCGAGGCAGTATATGGAATACATTTATGATTGAGCGAGACAGGGTATGGAATACATTTGATGATTGAGCGAGACAGGGTATGGAATACATTTGTGATTGAGTAAGAGGGTATAGAATGCATTTATAGATTGATATCATGCCCTGTTTTTTACAATGTTATGTTCACATTCAACTCTAGATACTTGGCTAACAACTTTAACATTGTGTTATTGTAATGAGCTTACTTTCCTTATTTTTACAATGTTATGTTCACATTGAACTCTGGATACTTGGCTAACAACTTTAACATTGTGTTATTGTAATGAGCTTACTTTCCCTATTTTTACAATGTTATGTTCACATTGAACTCTGGATACTTGGTTATCAACTTTAACATTGTGTTATTGTAATGAGCCTACTTTCCCTATATTTACATTGTTATGTTTATATTGAACTCTAGATACTTGGCTAACAACTTTGACTGGCTGCGAGAGCAGTTGGATGAACAAGAAGACGACTACATCATATTTGATTGCCAGGTATCACAGTAACATTTGCCACACTCAAAATACAGTGCAGACCCCTGGTGATCTCAGATCTGACAAACTTATGTCGTGAGGAACAATTTGTTTATCCCCTGAAATTGGTCTTTCTTGAATTCCGATCTGGATAAGAGGAATTTCCGGGGTTTCTAGGGGAGTTCTTCTTATCAGGTCTGCACTGCACTTTAGTGTTTAAAACATCCCAGCTCATAGGCAACTGTCAGTCCCTGGGGATTATGCTGTGCCATTGGTTTTGGAAACAGGGTCTGCTGTGATTATATAGTCAGTCTCTGCCATACATGGCTACATGAAAACCTTGATACTCTATTGGCCCTGAGGGGCGTGGGTCTATTTTTTTTATCCCCTAATTGGGACCCCGGAACCCACACGTGGACTGTTTGCGTCCTTATAACGTAGCCTTCCTGCAGATCCTTTCCCTATTTCCAGTTAACCATACAGGAGATCCGTTTGAATAAACCCTTGTCCACATGGAAGACATGCCGCAACCTACGTAGGCATCATTGCTTTTGTCAAAAGTATAAGGGTCCTTGTTGTTACTCCTGCTACCACAATCAGTTGGATGATGTATTCATCATATGAACATGCAGGCTGTTCTTACTTTTCACATGGAATGTGTTTAAAATCTCAAAATTTATGAGATTAATTATTGTCAGATTTCCATATGTTTCACCAGACATGTGCTTTTTTTTATTACAGGTAAATATAGTAGTTAGTGTAAAAAAGTATAATTCAAAGACCCTTTTCATGCTATTGTGCAACAGCTATACAGTGTTAGATTCATATCAGGGCAGAGGTGCAGGGGCTGACCAGCACATAGGTGGGCACAGGATATAACTGACATCTTGAGTGGGAAAGTGCGCAAGGTCGAAGAGCTGACGAGTAATTGAGTTTCTTTTAGGCGGGCTGTGATAAGATCGGCGTTTACTAAAAGGGCTTGCTACATGGTGATAATTTGTGTTGTTCTTTTCTTTTTAATTTTATTTATACGATCATAGTTTGTTAATTATTTACTGTTTTCTATCGTCAGGCCAGATAGAACTCTACACCCACATACCTGTAATGAAACAGCTGGTAGAGAAACTCCAGTCGTGGGATTTCCGAGTGTGTGCTGTCTTTATGCTGGACGCCCAGTTTCTAGTGGATGCAGCCAAGTTTGTCTCTGGTTCCCTGACTGCTCTGTCCACCATGGTCAACCTTGAAATTCCTCATGTTAATGTTCTCACAAAGATAGATCTGCTGAGCACATCTGCTAAAAAGCATATAGACAGGTACAACATTTGCTGCTTGTTGTCCATCTTTCTTCTTCTTCATATTTACCAGCTATTACGCCACAACATCTAGCATGAGAATGGAGGTGGAAGCGGTAACTTCAGCTCTCCAGTGGCTAGAGAACAAGATGCATACACATGTCATAATTGTAACAGACTCTGAAAGCATGCTGTGAAAGGTGAAGACAGGGATGCTTCGAGCAGAGTGGCAAGCTTCACTGGGAAGGTCATGGGTAGTGAGCATACTTTGAATCTTCTCTCCAGGTCGTGCTGGCGTGGTGGGTAATGAACAGGCAGACAGATTGGCTGGATCAGCACCACTGGGCGGTGAATTGATACATGACAAGGCAGATATGGTAAACAAGATTATCAGAATTTGCTTTATGAACAAGATCAACAATAGCCAGTTTTCATGATCATGGTAGAAATTAGATTGTATAGTTAGTAACCATGAAAATGAGTATGTTTGTTTGTGGTTCATTAGCTATCTGTGTGCTGTTTTTTCACTGTTGAAATCTTGTTTCATGCTGCGTGTGAGGGATTTATAATTTTTTGTTAGCAAAAGACAACAGTGTGGCAGAAATTCACAGGCAACTCATTGAGGTTTATGGGCCCAGATGTTATGACTGAAAGAATGGTTAGGAAATGGTGGCAAATGTTTAAAGAAGGGCAAACAAATATCCATGATGAAGATCGTAGCGGTCACCCGAGTGTGGTGACTGACGATTTGGTTGAAGAAGTGAACCAACAAATTCAGGTAAAGAGTTGTTTCCTAATTTCTGCATTGTCTATTGAATTTTTAGAAGTTTTAGCAGTTTCACTTTCACTGGTTTACGAAATTGTATGCCAGATCGATACGGAAAATGTTTACCAATGATGAACACAAGCAGAAATGTCTGGCTTCAGTTCAAACATGTTTGCAGCGCTATCATGATGAAGAAGATGAATTTTTGGGGCACATTGTTACTGGAGAGGTGATCTGGATTTCTTACACAAACATTGAATCAAAGCAGCAGTCGGTGCAGTGGCGACACTCACGGTCCCCGAAAGCAGAGAAGTTTAAGCAAGCACCTTCTGTCAAAAAGATCATGGCCACTGTTTTCTGGGACCAAAAAAAAGGGTCTTGTTTATTGATTTTCTTGAATGTGGAGAGACAGTTAATGCCAAAACTTATTCTGACACTGATAAAACTTACACATGTCATCCAAAACAAAAGACGTGGATTGTTGTCCTCTGGAATTATGCTTTTGCACAATAATGCTCAACCTGAAGTCACAGATGGAACTGTTTCATTGTTGCAAAAAATTCGCTGGGAAATTTGTTGACTACAGCCCCGATCTTGCGCCAAGTTATTACCACCTTTTCATGCACCTAAAGATGTGGCTAGCAACTCAAAAGTTTGAAACTGATGATGAACTGCAGACAGGCGTTAATGAATGGTTCAGGACACTGGGGGCAGACTTCTATGACATTGGAATTAAGAACCTGGTGACACAATACCACAAATGTGTTGAAGTCAATGCTGACTATGTTGAGAAATAATTTGGCTGCAATAAATCATTTTTATATATGATGGTTATTTTTTATTTTATACCGTGACTTACTCACAAAATGTGTCTTGTATTATTTTTTTCATCATATCCTTATTTTCAGGTACCTGGATCCTGAGCTAAGCACTTTGTTGCTAGAAGAGTTTCAAGACAAGGAGTTTGGTCCAAAATTTCATTCACTTAACAAAGCAATGGCACAACTGGTATGTTTGACTTTATTGGTGTATTGTTTGAAATATAAGCAGAGATCCACTCTTATGCTTTAAGGCATACTGGGCCAACTGGCGCTCAAGTGGATAAGTGGCCACTTTCATGCCAGCCACATTTGTGTTCACATGTCATTTTCTAGTACCTATTTTAGACCATGGAGTCGCGATAGTGTAGCGGCTAGACTCTCACCTGCGGATCGGAAGGGTGTGGGATTGCCTGACGGAGCTGGACATTTTCTTTTAAATGACCTTAGCTCCATTGTTGACACAGCCTTGAGTGGGTACTAGGTGCAGTCCTGGGAAGTAAAGGCGGTCGGCGTGATGTTGACCACATCACCCACCAAGTGTCAACTGATCTTCAAAATATAGGTCTAGCCCTATGTGCCTGAAGGCGTGGAAAATGGTCTTTTAATTAAGTTTATTTTAGGCCTGGTTGACCTGGAAACACCTGGGCTGGACTTGGACAGCAGGTAGGCTGTCACATCTCCTAGTGTATTGATAGCCATTGTTAGCAACAAATGTAAATTGTTATACTGCATACTCCCCGTGTGGGTTCCGGGGTCCTATTATAAGGGAAACAAGAATAGACCCACTGCCTACCCAAAAGCAAGTCATAAGAGTCGACTAATTGGGAGCTTCCTTCGAAGTCAGAGAGCATCTGCCTGAGAGGCAAGGGACCAACAGTCTGTATACAAATGAGTAAGTTCTGTAAAAACGGATGCACACACAAAACTCAGGTTCTGGAACAGGACTGCAGTCCACAAGTGGATGAACAACCAGAACTTTCCGCCAGAGTTTACAGCTGGTGAAGAAGAAGAAGAATACTGCATACAGAATTAGCAAAAATTAGCCATCCTGGCGTGTACATCATAAAGATATTGTCATCACTCTTTCACATGTGTTGTTCAACCCCACCAGGACCACACATCAAGTGACCAGCACCCGTTGACACAAAGTGCCACCATTTGGATGAGGATCACCCAGGCACAAGTCCCTCAAACCCTGTTCAACCTGTAAGGGTTATATTAGGACCGGGGGTGCGGTTTTAAAATAACGAAACATTGCGGTCAACAGTGGGACATAGTTTATACTGTATGTTGCTCTTTCATGTGTGACAAAACGAGGAAAATCTCTTTTGCCCGAGTGCTAAAAAATTGGGTCATGAAGCTGTGGGAATTATTTTTTTTAATGCTTTAAAAATAAAACAACTATTTTCCACAGGTAACTAATAAATGGAATGAAAGTAGCCAGTATCAACCAGTAAGGGCTTGACCATCAACAATTGGTCCCCCCCCCCCCCCCCCCCCCCCCCCCCCCCACAAGACTTGGCATTATAGGTGTGACGAATGAGGGTTTTTTCTTCGAAGTCAGAGTACATCAGCCTGAGAGGTAATGAACCAAAAGCCTGCATACAGTTACACCAGATCTGTAAAATGGATGTGCACACAAAAGTTCTGGAACAAGACCACAGCCCAGAAGTGGATGAACAACCAAAACTTTACATCAGAGTTAAACGCCAGGAAATGCGAAGAAGACGACAACGATAAACACTTTAAAAAAAAAATAACAGCAGAATCTTTTTCTGCTTCAAATTTCAGCTGGATGACTTTAGCCTAGTCCACTTTGTGGCCCTGGACTACACCGAGGAGGATAGCATTAATGATTTGTTGATCCACATAGACATGACCATACAGTACGGAGAGGATTTGGAGCCCAAGGAGATGAGGGTCAGTTATTTTATACATTTTGTTACATCTTCCCCGTGTGGGTTCTGGGGCCCCAGTGTAGGGAAAACAAGAATAGACTCACTGGCTCCTTGACAAGCATGCCCTATGAGACAACTAATTGGGTGCTTCCTTTAAAGTGAAAGTACATCTGCCTGAGAGGCAAGGAACCAAACCAGCAATCTGTAAACAAAGTCAGATTTGTAAAACGGATGTGCATGCAGCACTTAGGTTCTGGAACAGAACTAAAGTCCAGAGGTGGACGAACAACAACCAGAACTTTCTGCCAGAGTTACAGCCAGTGAACGTGAAGAAGTTATGTCCGCTTTATCTTCACTACTTGTTTTTATCTTGTTAGCTTCTTGAATAGCATTCTTCTTCTTGTATTCCATGCTGTGGGGCATTGGTAGTCATGTCTGTCCATAACCTTCTGTCTCATGTACTTTCAGTCAGTTCTGACACAGATGATCTTCCATGTCATGATGTCAGACTGTCCAGTATCTTCTCTCTGCCTCTCTTCCCCTCCAACTTTCCCACCGTCACCATAAACTCCAGTTTTCTCCTTCTCATGACATGACCAAAAAATGTAAATTGTCTCTTTCTAATGTTGGCATTCAGTTCTCTTTGTGAGTCAGTTTCTTGAATAGCAAACAGCTAGATGTATTTCTCAGTGTTGTCATGCCTGTCTTAACTTGGGTGTCCAGGCAATACCTTATCGGAGGGCTGGAGTTTCTTTTTTCCCTGCAGGATTGATACCCAGTGACTAAACGAGTCACTTTTTGGATGTGAATCCAACAGGAGCAAATTTGACCTTATAAAACAGTTATGATTTTGATTCTTACTTCAACATTCTTATATTTCTCCATTAAATTCTTTGCATTCTTCTCAAACACAATGTCCATGCTTACAGTACTTATTTGCATGTTATGGAAAAAATACATCTCTGTATTTTTTATGTCAATTTTTTTTCTTTTTCCCAATTACAGGATCCAATAGACCCGGATGAAAATGCGGATACTGGAGGTTTTGACAGTGGATTTGAATAATATTATCGTTTGAGATGTCTGTGTGTGCACCCTAGTGTTTGCATGTGTCCATGAATAGTGAGTCTGTGTGTTTGAGTGTGTGTGTGTACATGAATAATGAGCTTAAGTGCCAGTGTGTGTTTGTGTACATGAATAATTAATTTAAGTGTCAGTGTCTATGTGTGTACGGGAATAGTGAGTCCTTGTTTAAGTACCAGTGTCTGGGTGTATACAGGAAAAGTGAGTCCATGTTTGAGTTCCAGTGTGTGTTTGTGTGTACAGGAATAGTGAGTCCATGTTTGAGTGCTAGTGTGTGTTTGTGTGTACAGGAATAGTGAGTCCATGTTTGAGTGCCAGTATGTGTGTACATGAATGAGTCCATGTTTGAGTGCCAGTGTGTGGGTGTGTACACGAATAATGAGTCTGTTTTTTAGTGCAGGTGTGAACAGGAATAACTAGTTAGTTACAACAATTAGAAAGAGACAAACACTGTTCTTTTGCCACATAATAAAAAGAGAGACATTGGAGAACATTGAGACAAATGGAAAGATCAGTGGAAAAGGGGGTAGAGGCAGACCAAGAAACATGATACTGGATGGGCTGAAACGATGGCATGGAGGGATATCATCAAGAGAGCTGTTCCAGGCAACCAGGGATGGTGATCTGTGGAGACCCACGAGCCCCTACGCTCTTGAGTATTGACCCACACTGCTGTGTCAACCGATATCCAGTTGTTGGAAGGTTTGCTTGTGAGTGCTAGACTGCTTGTTGTTGCCATTATATGTAATCTGACCGAAAATACAATTTTTAAAAATATGACCATATACAAGTGATTTGAGTTGTTTGTTTGGTGGCACGGCTTAAAAGTTACAATTTTTAGAATATTGTTTTTTCAGTGTAAGCCAAGATTGTTTGTGAAAATTGGGGATGCTTTATGAAACCACACATCCCTCCTGATCTTTTAAGGTATTTTTAAAAAAAACTCACTCACTGCCTGCCACTTTTAGGTTAGTGTCGAATACAAGGGTTGTGATCATAAGGATAAAAGGCCACATGGTGAAGTGCAGATCAAGGTCAGCATGGGCATACACAGAGCAAAGAATGGGGACAACAATATAAGAGGACAGCGGCGCTTACCAGACAACCATGTGGTTCATGACCGTGGAGATAGCCGCTGCTTCTAGAGCACGAGCATGGGTATCCGAGCAAAGAGCATTATATGCAGTAATTGGGCAAAGAGCATTATATGCAGTAACTGTATCAGACTCTATGAATATGCTTCAGAAAATAGCAACAGACAGTATGCTCTCTGAATGGGTAGAAAGCATTAAAAAATCGCACTTAACCTCCCTCGTCTGGATCTACACACCGGATCATGCTGACATGAAGGTTAATGAGCGAGCGGACCAACTGGCAAGCAATGCACCAATGCATGTGGAAAGAAGCATGGACAGCGCAGATATAGTCAACGCTGTACGGACTGGGCTAATGGATAATGAGAAATCCCTGACACTAACAAGATTGTATGACATGGGAGTAAAGCATGGTGAAGCACGTCTATGCCATCATTGAGGCTGAGGTAGGAGACAATATAACCAGCTTCTTATGGGAACAATTAGTAGAAGTAGGAGTGGCTGCTGCATCGGAGGATTAGGCACGCATGGGAATATCCAATGTGCAGTGACACTGATTGTGATAACATAACCAGTTCAGTTCCCTTGTGAACAAAATGTGTGCTTCTCTGTCATCTACCATTCTCTCTGTGTGTTCCAACAATCTGTCTATTAGCCCTCATGATGCCGGTGATCAATGGTGATTTAAACAAATGATGAGGTTTGTTGTTGCTTCTCATTTTCACTATTCATTCCTGGCTGTTTGCATCTTTGATGGGTTCAGAGATTCATCATTAGACTGTTTTAAACAATCTGTAATAAGGCTTCATCTCTTTTAGTTTTTGCAGGTTAGGATTCTTATTTTTGCCCCTGTCAGTAGAAAAAAATCTCTACCTCTTACTGAGGAACAAACCCATGTCTCCCACACGAGAACCAAATGTTTTAACCCAGGGCTATTCAACTAAGTTTACTCAGGGGCCAGAATTTTGAAAATGGGGATCTAACGAGTCAGAGGCCTGAACCCCAGCTTAGAAAGATCATTAATACAACACAGCTGGCAGTTATCAGCGGCCTACTTGCTAGGCCTCCATGGGCCGCCAGTTGAATAGTCCTGTTTTAGCCAGTCATTCTCCATCTCAAGATGTAAGACTGAATTTTGTCAAGGCTCAGTGTTTAAAGGAGCCACCAACCTATGGGTAAAGAAGAATCCCTGACTTTTAGTGGATTAAAACAGCATTAAAAGTTTGTGATAACACACCAGCAAAGATATTAAATTAAAAATTTTGAAAGCATGCATCTTCCCTGTTGCAATGGATGAGAGTTATGGACCATCTCGTAGTCATCACTGAAGAAAAGAGAGGCTACTGAGCAGAAATGCTATATAAACATTATCATCATATCACCATGGTCTAAGAAGAAATACATACTGACATCCAAAAAGATCTGAACATCAAAAAAGATTAGCAAATAAACAGCATCTTATCTCAGAAACTGAAATATTTTAGCTATATCAAAGGCTCTAGAGGACTGGGATGAATAATAGCAGAAGGCATGGAGCCAGGAAAGGGGCGGGAGTGCTGGGGAGAGGCCCAGTTTCTTTTAGGCAGACTGTTATGAGAATGGGATTCTGTTTAAAAAAAAAAATACATGACGATGACCTTTGATGGAACCCCATCTAACAGAAGTGAACCTTGCATTTGTGTGTCATGAAGTCACACATTTATTTCTAAGTTAAGAGAGATACATAAAACTCGTGTGAAGTAGGGAGCTTTTTCTTCTTCTGCTTTCATCCTTGAGAAGGCAGTTTGCATTTTGTAGTTGACAGCTAGGCTGTAACATTTGCGCCTTACCGCTGCACACATCCAAAGATCCGTCTTTTATGACATACTTGTTAGGTCATCAGTGGCTCTGTTCTCCCTGTCGGTTCCAGGGCTCCATTTTGGGGAAAACAAGAATAGACCCACTACCTCCCCAAAAAGCATGTCGTAGGAGTCGACTAATTGGGAGACATCCTTTAAAGTCAGAGTGTGTCTGCCTGAGCGGCAAGAAACAACCAACAGCACACAGAAAAGCCAGTAAAACAGATGTGCACACAAAAATCAGGCCCTGTCACAAAGCCAAAATCCAGATAGACAAAGAAGAAGTGGCTCTGTTCCTTTTCTCCCCAAAATGAGGTCCCATACCCCACACAGGAAAAGAAAACGTTAAGAAGAACTGTGTGCTGGACTCTCAAGGTTTTTAAAAAATCACAATTACAGTATTTACATACAATAAAAATTAAATATGCAAACTCTTTAGTACACTTTTAGCTGTTTAAATTTATTTCAACATTTTCCAAAGAATAAACATGATAGGCATAAAATATAGCATTGACATATACCTCAGAATACTTATCACATAAACATGAGAGGTATTCATATAACACCAACATAGAGGGCTCATAGCGGGCTGTCCTTGAAAGCCGGTAAAACCCCATGAATAGTAGCTAGCCATATTTTATATTGTATTCATTTAGTTGTCGATCAGCTCCACTGCAGTCACTTGTAACATTCCTAATGTTTATGTGACAAGTATCCGAGTTATTTAATGGAATGAAGATGTAGACCGCAAGCTGTTTGTGACATACAGATGACACAAGGCATCATGAAGGCTAATAGATTTAAATGGCTGGGGCATACTGAGAGAATGTCAGATGACTGAGAGGTAAAAACTGTGTACACGAGGGCGTTGAATGGTTGTAGACCAAGAAGACGATAGAGAGATAATATCCAGGGAGACCTACAGATAACTGGTGTCACCAAATGGAAAGAGAAGGCCAACCACAGAGAAAAAAAAAGGCGGGTGACATCTGCAGCACGGGCTCGGAGTGCTGAAGAAGAAGAAGAATTATAAAACAGTGAGTGTTGAAAAAAAAGAAAAAAAAACAGCAGGTAAAAATAAACTAGAGACTTTTTAAACCAAATATCTAAGGAGAATCCTGCAGATATTTTGGCCAAACGATTACAAATGAAGAACTGAAGAAAAAAAGGTTCTATAATAATCTATTAGAACTGCATATAGATAGACATAAAGAGAGCATTCATTAATTACCCCACAGAGTTTCTCTATAAAAACTACTATAACTGCATATAGACAGACATAAAGAGAGCATTCATTAATTACCCCACAGAGTTTCTCTATAATAATCTATTAGAACTGCATATAGACAGACATGAAGAGAGCAGACATTACCTAGTAATAAGTGTGCTCTGTCACAGACATCTATCAAAACTGACTCTAAGAACTATGGCACATTCTTGCATATTTTTATTTAAACATGGCACAATATGATCACCGGTATTATCTTTGATTAAGAAATTATATAAAATCAGTAAATCACAACTGAGATTATATGCATAAAAGCTATACATTTATATACATTATCAAAGTCTATATACAAAATACAGCAATTTTGTAAAAAAAAACTACAAAGGAAAAAACCCTTGCTATAGTGTCTGTTCACTTTTATACATAACAAAAGTCTATATAAAATTACAGCACTGCTTTTTTTTTTTTTACAAACTGCAAAGCAGAAAAAAACCTTTTTGTAAAGTAAATAAAACAATGCTTATGGCACTGTATTGACACTGATAATTATGACATCCAAAAGCTGATAATTATAGCATCCAAAAGCTATCAGATAATATAATTTGCAGCATAAACAAGCAATTACAGTTGGATAAGTACCAACAAATTGTATGTACAAAGGAGCCTTTTCCATGGTTTCAGGCGTATAGGGCTAGACATATTTTATAGACCAATAAGCACTCGATGGGTGATGTGGTCAGCATCATGCCAGCCACCTTTACTTCCCAGGGCTGCACCTGGTACCCACTCAAGAGCTGACAGCCCAGCTCTTTTTTTTTTAAAGTCAGGACCTGAATCCATGAACTTCCGATCTGCAGGTGAGCGTCATATCAATGCACCAACAGATTGTTTGGCCTGTGATAATAATACACACTTTCTCCAAAAAAAATTTATTCCTGTGGTGGGCAGATTAGAAAAACTGTTCTCGGGACTTTTATGTAGTGGTATGAGAGTCACACAATGGAAGAGACCGGGACCTCACAGCGTAATACTGCCATAGTTAGCTGGGAACACATTGCAGCCTAATTCCACTGCTTGGGCAGCCAAATTTTATTACAGCAAAAGCTCATTAACAAACTTGCTTAAGACGAACATTCGGTTAACAAACTAAATTTTGGTCCTAGCAGAGATGCATCATTCGTAATCCATCTATTTGTCTCTGGTAAGCAAAGTTTTTGTTTAACATGATGTTAAGTCCTGTGGAATTTATTTTAATGAAGTTTTACTACACTCTCTGTTCTTCTTCTTCTTAATATCCTCTTTTACCACTTCAGGCGTGGAGTGAGATTTAAGGTCCTGCTTCTTGCTCTTCTGGCTGCCTTGACCAGAGACACATCATGCTGTTGTAGATTTTTTCTGATGTTATCTTTCCATCTTGTTCATGGTCTACCTTGTGCTTTTCGTCCATCTCCTCGTTTGGGGTATCAGTCACTGTAGTGATAATAAATCCATTGCCAGCTTGCTAGGTCGATCATAAACTCACCAGATCCCCGTTGGCCAGGACATTTCAGAGTGACCTAGAATGGCTTTAATGGCTACCACAGAAGTCTCATGGCACAAAGCCACACCAAACTACCCCACTTATTAAATCAACTCATTCTGTAACTCTTGATACAGATCATACAGTAACGTTAACAGCGCATTTCTACTTTCCCAGCATGTGACTGTGTATCACATTTCTGTGCCTATACAGCTAAAAATTCTGAGACTTTGTGTTGAAACCTCAACTAACCAACTAACTAAACCCCCCCCCCCCCCCCCCCAAAAAAAAAAAGTTAGTGTGCATCCTTTACAGGACATTGCAGAACCAAGTGCAACATTTTGTGGCTGTTGTGGTTTTTCTAGGCAAATTTTACATTCAGTAGTTTGCCACTGCTCCCTGAATGGTCAGCATTCAGTACCACTTTTGAAACCAACACAAGACAAATCGTCCACAGCTGAGATCGAACCCAGCACCCCAGCAAATGTGTTTGCAATGCCTATGCCACAGACGCTGACAACCAACTAACTAATCAGCAAACATTGATCACTATGTCTCATTTTCTGTTAAAACTTCACGTACCATGGGCAATCATTGGGTAACTATTGTTCTGTGTTTTACCTACTTATTTTTCTGCATGGATTTAATGCTCACACGAAGGGCGTAATTTTCTTCTTGCATGTGAGAAAGTTCTTTGGTTAGTTCATCCAGCTGTTGTTGCCTTTCCCTGGATTATTAAAAATGTTGAAGTCAACAAATTATGAGGTTAATTACTTTAAATAATTTATAATCAAGCAGTGTACATATTTAATAGAAATAGCATAATCTTTACATATAACTCCTTACCAACACAGGACTGCAGGAGACCCCACTCTGGTGTAGCTGTTAAAGGTGTCCCACTTAGAATTTTTTTTGAGATTTGTGGAGCATGATTCCAAAAAAATTAGTAGTGTGGTGAAGTTCTTCCAATGACCGGTAGTGTGGTGGAGTTCTTCCAATGACCGGTAGTGTGGTGAAGTTCTTCAAGTGACCGGTAGTGTGGTGAAGTTCTTCCAATGACCGGTAGTGTGGTGAAGTTCTTCCAGTGACCGGCAGTATGGTGGAATTCTTCCAATGACCGGTTGTATGGTCAATGACCTGTAGTGTGGTGAAGTTCTTTCAATGACTGGTAGTATGGTGAAGTTCTTCCAATGACCAGTAGTGTGTTGAAGTTCGTCCAACGCTAGGTTGTATAGTGAAGTTCTTCCAATGACCAGTAGTGTGTTGAAGTTCGTCCAACGCTAGGTTGTATAGTGAAGTTCTTCCAATGACCAGTAGTGTGTTGAAGTTCGTCCAACGCTAGGTTGTATGGTGAAGTTCTTCCAATGACCAGTAGTGTGTTGAAGTTCGTCCAACGCTAGGTTGTATAGTGAAATTCTTTCAATGACCCGTAGTGTGATGAAGTTCGTCCAACGCTAGGTTGTATAATGAAGTTCTTCCAATGACCAGTAGTGTGTTGAAGTTCTTCCAATGACCAGTAGTGTGTTGAAGTTCGTCCAACGCTAGCTTGTATAGTGAAGTTCTTCCAATGACCAGTAGTGTGTTGAAGTTCGTCCAACGCTAGGTTATATAGTGAAGTTCTAATGACCTGTAGTGAGGTAAAGTTCTAACGACTGGTAGTGTGGTGAAGTTCTTCCAATGGCTGGTAGTGCGCTGAAGTTCTTCTAAAGAACAGTTGTGTGGTAAATTTCTTCCAATGACCTGTAGTGTTGTGAAGTTCTTCTAAAGAACAGTAATGTGGTAAAATTTCTTCCAGAGAAAATAACGTGGTGAAGTTCTTCTAACAAAAAGTAGTATGATGAAGTTCTTTTAATGACAAAGTTCTTCCTCTTCTTCTTCTTTTCTCCATGTGATGCCGGCGTGGCAGGTAATGAACAGGTAGACAGATTGGCTGGATCTGCACCACTGGTTGGTGAACTTCTTCTTCGCGTTCACCAGCTGTAAACTCTGGCGAAAGGTTCTGGTTGCTCGTCTACTACTGAACTGCAGTCCTGCTCCAGAACCTGAGTGTTGCGTGTGCATCAGTTTTACAGATCTCATTCTCTTGAATACAGACTGTTGGTTCCTTGCCTCTCCGGCAGACGCACTCCGTCTTCAAAGGAAGCTCCCCAATTAGTTGACTCTTACAACATGCTTTTGGGGAGGCAGTGGGTCTATTCTTGTTTTCCCCACAATGGGGCCCCGGAACCCACACAGGGGGTTGGTGAACTGATACATGACAAGGCAGATGTGGTCAAGGCCCTTTGGGAACAAGCAACGGAATCAGTAGAGAAAGAAGATTATTACGGCCTGGAGAGAATGAGGCACTGGGTGTAACTAGAGGGTCTGGCTGGCTGACTACAGTCAGAGGAAAGGCAAGATGGACATTTAACCAGATTGTGACCGGTACCATCATTACTGGAACTCTGGGCTGGCTGCTGAAGATGAGGACGAAACATGCATGGGAATGCCCTGAGTGCTGTATTGTAAGTTCTTGACTCAACTCAACTCAACTCTTCTTATTTTTTAATCCTTTTGTCATAAAACTTTATGAAAGCTATCGTGCAGTCCATATCTTCTCGTGTACCATACAGCTTTGTCTTCATTGTGGTTGTAGCGGGCCAGATTGTGTCTCTGTTGTCAAGAAAGTATACGTGCTGCCATGTTTGTGGGAAAATATTCTCCCATTCTATCTGTGCCTTTTGACCTGGCATCTCTGTCTTCAACGTGTTTTCTTTCAGGATATGCTTCCTTAGCCCATGACCAATCAAGGCCTAACCGCGGGCAGTGGTGTTTTTTATTTTCAGAGTACCCTTCTCATAGGTGGGCTGCTGTCCCCAACTGACAGGCCCCACCTACTCAGAGTTCTTATAATGGCGGGTAGTGTGGGAAGTTCTCCCAACGACCGGTAATATGATGAAAACAAATACATTTGGACATTAACTTGGATTAATTCAAAAAGGTGAAGCAACAAGAGAAACTTCTGGACAACTACTGGTGTTATAGGTTTAGGTTTAAACCACGGATCAACATCATGGCATAAGGGGTAACCCTTAAGTGCTCAGTTCTATTTCTAACTCAAGCCTTAGTCTAAAGATCTCAGCAGAGTGCACGGACTCGGTAGCACTGGCGAGGATCCTTAAATACTTTGGGTAGATTTGTAACTTCAAATTTTGCCCAGGCAGTGTCATTAGGCTACTGCTTTCAATTTCCAATTGAGAAGGGATTTTTTTACGTACGCAACAATACACACGGGTGTCCGGTCTCACAACCAAGAGACCAGGGGAAATTACCATAAGTCCACGTGAAAAAATGCCAGTCTTTACTTTGGCTTGGACCCGGGACCTCCAGCACTCGAGATGGACTCTATGCCCTCAGACCACTCAGCCCCAGTACTACAGCTATAAACAAAGAAGGTGGCACTATAATGGGCACATATTGAGAATAAACGAGCTGAGAATAACCAACAGGACTGAAATTGGAAACAGATTGAGGAAACAGGGACATCAAAGAGAAACCTTAAAAAAAGATGTGAATAGAGAAACCAAAAGTGCCAAACCGGAGAAGCCAAATGGGCCGGAATGGAGATGCCAAGTGCTGGATGGAGAAACCAAAAGTGCTGGACTAGAGAAGCCAAAAGTGCTGGACTGGATTCTATCCACGCTGTCAAAACAATGGCAAAGAATAGAACAGAATGGAGGAAAAAAATGTGAACCCTATGTGACAGATAATGACACAACTTGTTTATGTGATGAAGGTGAATATGTTCAACTGATTACATTAACAAGATTATGATGACAACACTAGCATGTCTGCAGTCTTACCAAGAATTTCCTTTCAGAGCATCAGCCATCTGGGATTTCAACCTGGCAAGTTTCTGGTCTCTATCCGCTATTACTGAATCTTTTTCTGCCAGCATCTCTGCTAAATGTTTCTCTGACTAAAAGGCAAAGAATGATAAACAACAGATTGTTTGAATACAGATAATTAACAATGCAATAAATATTTATTCACCAATATGTTGCCGAGACCTATGAGGGAAACAAATAATATTAGTAGTGGTAGTAGTAGCAGCAGTAGTAGAACAAATAAACAAACATTCATACACACACTCCTACACACACACACACACACACACACACATATATATATATATATATATATATATATATATATATATATATATATATATATATATATATATATATATATATATATACATGAACACACACACACATACACCCACAGACTGGCTGTACACATGTCATATTCATCTTCTCATTCTTGCCCAAACCACACTTAATTTTAAATTCACACAACCTTACACATCAAACATTTCCTCTTCCATCAGAATTCGTACATAAATGGTCTACAGAATGTCTATTGTGAGTGTTCCTGTAGCCACACATACAAAATCTGCTCTTTCATCACCTCCCAGTCCTGCACATCCCAGACAGTATATCCATGTGATTCCCCATAATGATTACCTACTAATGCTTGGTATCCACTCAGTTTAACCACACAAGAATGTTTAGAGAACCAGACACATTCAAGCAGATCAAAAAACAAAGAAAACACTTCAGCACTCACCTCTTTTTTCAGTTCATCAATATTCTGTCTGTGTTCTTTAATCAGTCTCTGAGTAGTCTTGTGTGCTGCACTAAGTGTCTCTTTGGTTTCATGAAGAAGAGCCTTGTTTGCGTCATGAGTTAACTGCTCTTGACTTAACTGTGCCAATAATTGTGCTTCCTGATATCACAAAAATTCGCATTCACTACAACTACTAAACAAAACAGATTAATTAAATAAGTATTTTAAAGGTTATGAGATGGAGAAAACATGAGCTCATCATGACAAAAGAAAACTTGGAATGGAAGGAGACCAAGGGAGACAATAATTGTTTTTTGGCATCAATATAGTATTCTGAGCCCTTGAGGTTCACTGCTGCAGATATCATCCGCCTCTATTCATCTCTCTGGTTGGCTTTCTCTTTCCAGTTGGCGACGCCAAGTGTTTGCAGGTCTGTCCGGACATTATCTCTCCATCATCTTCTTGCTTCGTAGTCTATGACCATTAATCTCTCTCATGTATACAGTTTTTACTTCTCTGTCATCTGTCATTCTTTCAATCTGCCCCAACCATTTCAGTCTATTAGCTCTCATGATGCCAGTGATCAATGATGATTTAAACAGATTATGAATTTCGTTATTGCTTTTTACTCTCCATTCCCTGCTGTTTGCATCTTTGATGGGTCCAAAGATTCGTTGTAAGACTGTAATAAGGCTTCATCTCTTTAAGCTGTGCTCCAAGTTTCAGAGCCCTATAAAACGGCTGGTCTTATCAACGTTTTATATATTTTGATCTTGGTGTTGCGAGACACCATATCAGAAATGACTGGCAGCGAAAAAAACAGAAGATTGGACAGGATTGATGTTGAACACCACACTGCATGGAGTACAATAAGAAAAGGAAGTGTAACCAACCAGAAATAAAAACAAGCCAAATAAACAAACAAATAATAACTAGAAATCTCATGGTGACTTTAAATACTGTGAACTTCTGTTAGCAAGTTGTACAATGTAACTAGAGAAGATGGTGTGATCTGTGTATTTCCGTGGATAGTATTCATGTTTTGTGCTTCATTATATTCTGATGCAACTCCGCAGAGATGCACATAACAAGATAAGCCAAGTGTGCTACATAATAAATTGTGCAATATAATATACAAAAAGTTTGGGTTTTTTTTTTTTCAAAATATAAGTCTGTGGTCTGTGGTCGTAATGTCGGGATGCCAGGTTCGATTCCAGCTGCAGGTCTTGCGCTTAGCGTTGATTTCGACAGTGGTATCGAGAAGCCGTCCGTCCAGAAAGCAATAGCAAACTGCTGGACGTAAATTTGCCTTTAAAAAAACAACATCATCATCCAAAAAATGCTGGGGTTGGTTCTGCAATGTCCTGTAAAGGATACGCAACTAACTAACATCAGCAGTGTAGATAAAGCCGAATGGAGTCTAGACTGCAGACACACTTCCTTTCACCTAATGAGGTGAAACAAAAAAGGAAGACTGTAGTTAGTTGCATGCAACAGTATAGAACAATCTGGTCAAGTTCATTGGAGGTTTATGCCCTATTCAAGAATAACAGACAAAAGAAGAAGGAAAAGAAGAAGAAAATCAGTTATCTTAATATACCCAACTGTTTGTTTTTTTTTTTTTTTAAATTAATGCATACAGTAAAAATGACACATATGTACTCATGCAAACACATGCATTAACGAACGTGTTTTTACACATTCAGCACATCTTTTTATAAAACTTTAGTCAAATTAGTTTCAGATTAGGCCAGATTAGGGGTGAAATATTAGGCCTTCATATACTTAGGATACAGCTTACATATATGTGGCTGCCAGTTCTGTTCCTGGCCACCTTCCCCACAGACAGAACAAGCAATGCTAAATAAACTATATAGAACTTGATAAATGCCATTAGTGATAGCAAGATATGGAGATGCATGATCACATGTGCCAGCTGGCCAGGCACTTTATGATGGTATGTATGTGTGTCAGTGTATGTATGTTAATATATGTATACATGCATCTATGTGTGTGTGTGCTGATAGCATACAGAAGTTCACCCTGAAGAAAATATCTTGGCTTTACACAACAGGACATGGGATGAAAGAGCCGACAGACTGGCCATGTCTGCAAAAGTTACTGGAGGAAAAGGATTATATAGGTCAGATATACGGAATGCACTGTGTTCCAGAGATGTTGAGAAAAAGGAGTCAGAGACAAATTAAACACCTTTCGAAATGCTGAATTAAGAATCAACATCATAGCACTTGGGACACTCCCATAAGTGCTCTGCCCCCATCTTCAGCAGCAAGCGAAAAGTTCCAATTCTGAGCCCCTGCTGGAAATGGGTATTAAAGGACGATAACCATGCAGAAACCAGGTGCAGGACAAAGAAAGAAGAACTGTCAATCAACTCCTGCTGGGTACGGTGAGTATGGAGACACTGTGATGGCTGGTGTGTCGGAGGACAGAGCACGAATGGGTCAGACCCAGATACTAGGACATCATTACAGATAACTATTAACAAGTATATGTGTGTACTAACATGTAAGTACTTCAAAATGATAGTAAAACATAAATTAGCCCACTTTTTTATAACTTCTACTGTAGAATGCTCACCATAATACCTGAGTTTCTAACTGGTTTTTAAGCTGTCTTGTTTCCTCTTCTTTTCCACAAAGAGCTACTTTAAGCTCCTCCAACTTCATGCCGAGTTCTTCTGTCTGATGTCTTAATTCTTTCTCACGTTTCTGACAAAAGCAATACATTTTATTTAGAGTGTAGCACCATGATTATGAAGAAGCAAGGCAGGTCAGTTTTCAGAAGTATAATTACATGAAAAGACAGGATAATGAAGGAACAATATTTAAATAAAAGAACTGCCCTAAAAAATATGGGACCTGCCATGGTGTAGTGATTACATGCTCGCCTACAGATCCGAAGGTCGTGGGTTCCTGTCAGAGCCGGGACTTTCTTAAAAAAAAATAACCTTGGCTTCCAGGTCGACCTAGCCATAAATTGGCCTATGTAAAGTCCTAGGTAGTAACAGCGGCCAGCTTGATGTTGACCACATTACCCACCAAGTGCCAAATGGTCTATCAAATATAGACTAGCCCTCTATACCCAATACACCTGAGAACGTAGAAAAGGATAATTTACTTTTTTTTTTAAATCTAGCATATCATTGAAGATCATCTGGGTGCCTTGATGAGAACGGAGTATGTCCAAGTGGTTAAAGAATACTCTGGAAGCAGCCATATTGTTATAAGTTAAAATCAATTTGGGTCCATCACTAGTGGAATTATGTTTTGTGGGGAAAGCATCTCTCCTGGTAATGGATAGTACTTTGTTCAGAGCCGAAGAAATAAACAAGTTCATATGATTTATCTAAGAAGTCTGTTTATATACAGCATAACCCTTGGAGTCACAGTGTCATTCAAGGTTTTCTACTCAAAGGTCAAGACACAAAGACATGACAAGAAATAAGTGAAATGAATGCACACAAGGTATAAATATATCTACTGACCACAGACAATTACCCTGAGATTTACCTCAGAAGAATTTGTTGAAAAGCAAACCTGTTCGTTCTGAACTTCACTGACCTCAGATCAGGTCCTTTCACTGAAAGACTTCTGATATACCTCCTTGGTGCACACTAGGGCTATTCAACTAGCAGTCTGCAGGCCAAATCTGGCCCATGGAAGCCTAGCATGTGGCTCGTGGATCACTGGTATGTACTGTATTATTGATCTATGTTGGGGTTTGGGCTTTTGGCCTGTGACGATTCCTATTTTCACAATTTTGGCTCTGAGTAAACTTAGTTGTACACTATGGATAAATGTCTGCCTCCTGCCCCATACTTCCCTACACACACACACACACACACACAAATGACAGGTTCAAGATTCCTGACATTTTAAATTGCCAAATGAGACATTTCTGCCTCCTATCTCATACTTCTCCACCCACACACAAAAAGACAGGTTCAAGATTTCTGTCATTTTAAATTGCCAATAAGAGTAATTCTACTTAATTCAGAGCTTATCAATGAAAAACAGAAGTGTGATAACAGCAGCCTTGAAACTCTTAAATTGGCAATGTCTGGCCTGGTTACATAGGACTGTGCAAACACAACTGGAGAGTGCAGCTAGCACTTTTTAGTGCATTGCAGAAATTGAATTACCTATAGGTAGCTTTCGGGAGCCGCTGTGGCATAGTAGCTTGAAAATCTTTGGCTCAGATTTGCATCGAGGTAGAATTGAGGTAGAATTATTTTCTAAATTAACCTTGGCTACCCAGGTCAATCCAGCCTAAAAGGAGTCATGCTAGACTCCCTGCCATTTTGTGTTGGTAGTCATGTCTATCCACAACCTTTTTCAACTCTGACTCAGATGATCTTCTATGTCATGATGTCAAACTGTCCAGCATCTGTTCTCTCGGTCTCCTTCTGCCTCTCCTCCCATCCAACTTTCCTACCCTCACCATGTACTCCAGTTTTCTCCTTCTCATGACCAAAGAATGTAGTTTGTCTCTTTCTGATGTGTGCAATCATTCTCTTCACAGGCCAGTTTCTTTCAAGACATCCTCATTACTCTTTTTATCTGTCCAGGGTATTCTCATCATTCATCTATAAAACCACATTTCCGCAGCTTCCAAATACGTTTTCACTATTTTACTTACTGTCCATGATTCACACCCACATATCAATATAGGATTTATATAGCTTTTAATACTTCTCTTTTTTGTCTCAACTGACAAAAGATTGCATAAAATATTCTTCATTTTTTTAAATGCTGCCTTTGCTTGAGCTAATCTACATTTAACTTCTTTAATACATCTTCCGTCTGATGTTATCAGGGTACCCAAGTACTTAAACATATCAACTTGCTTGAGGTTTGTCCCATTTACTTTGATGTTGCATTTTGGAAGGTCAAGAACTAATAAACAGCATTTAAACCGGGCTTTAAGAACAAACAAACAGCATTTGAACTGGGCCTCAAGAACAAACAAATAGCATTTGAACTGGGTCTCAAGAACAACCAAACAGCATTTGAACTGGGTCTCAAGAACAACCAAACAGCATTTGAACTGGGTCTCAAGAACAACCAAACAGCATTTGAACCGTGCATCAAGAAAAACAAACAGCATTTGAACTGGGCCTCAAGAACAACCAAACAGCATTTGAACTGGGTCTCAAGAACAACCAAACAGCATTTGAACTGTGCATCAAGAAAAACAAACAGCATTTGAACTGGGTCTCAAGAACAACCAAACAGCATTTGAACTGTGCATCAAGAAAAACAAACAGCATTTGAACTGGGTCTCAAGAACAACCAAACAGCATTTGAACTGTGCATCAAGAAAAACAAACAGCATTTGAACTGGGTCTCAAGAACAACCAAACAGCATTTGAACTGGGTCTCAAGAACAACCAAACAGCATTTGAACTGGGTCTCAAGACCAAATAGCATTTGAACTGGGCCTCAAGAACAAATAGCATTTGAACTTCGTCTCAAGAACAAAAAACATCATTTGAACTGGGCCTCAAGAACTAACAAACACCATTTGAACTGGGCCTCAAGAACAAACAGCATTTGAACTGGGTCTCAAGAACAAACAAACAGCATTTGAACTGGGCCTCAAGAACTAACAAACACCATTTGAACTGGGCCTCAAGAACAAACAGCGTTTGAACTGGGTCTCAAGAACAAATAGTATTTGAACTGGGTCTCAAGAACAAATAAACAGCATTTGAACTGGGTCTTAAGAACAAACAGCATTTGAACTGGGTCTCAAGAACAAGCACCATTTGAACTGGGCCTTAAGAACAAACAGCATTTGAACTGACCCTCAAGAACAAACAGCATTTGAACTGACCCTCAAGAACAAACAGCATTTGAACTGACCCTCAAGAACAAACAGCATTTTAACTGGGCCTCAAGAACAAATAGCATTTGAACTGGGCCTCAAGAACAAACAGCATTTGAACTGGGCCTCAAGAACAAACAAACAACATTTGAACTGGGCCTCAAGAACAAATAAACAGCATTGGAACTGGGCTCTTATAATTATCTGAGTTTAAACATAATGACATTTATTTTTATGAATTTAGGAATGAATCAAAAACTGAGAACACAGCACTCAGGACATTCCCACAGATGATCTGTCTCCATCCTCAGTAACCAATGAAAAGTTCCCATATTAATAGCAGAACAATATGGCATATTTCATGAATTTAAATGTCATCCTTGCACAGCGGCCATGCTAATCTTCTCTGTACTCTTCCAGTTTCAGTCTTGTCTTGTCTTGTCCACAATTGCCTCACAGCGTAGTGGGGAGTCGCAGTTTTCTATCCTGGGCCAGGTGTGTTGCACGTGTTGTTGTTAGTCCGTGTTGCCTCAGGATCTCTGATATATTGTCTATCCATCGTACTCTCTGTCTGCCTCTTGCTCTAGGGCAGTAGTGCTGTTTGTTGTATGCTCGTAGAGGCAGTTGGTCGGTTTGCATTCGCATCAAGTGGCCAAACCACTCTATTTGTTCCAGTTTCAGTAAATGAACTAAATGAACAGTGTTTTTACGAAGTAGCAACAAATATTCAGAGACTCTTTTTTTCACTGATCTAAGCTCCTCGGTACCAGGAAACTTCAAGTGACCTCTGGTTAACTATAACAGGCTGGTGTCATGTATGTAATATAACATGGACTGGAATTAAGTTCCTGGCTGTTATGTAATTTTTATAGAAGATATTTAATAAATAAGATATAACATCTGTGTGGGTTCTGGCTCTCCATTGTCAGGGGCAAAAAAAAAAAAAGAATAGACCCACTGTATTCCTAAGAAAAAGGTCATAAAAGGTGATCAATAACTTTTTTTGTCGCAGTGCATCTGCCTGAGAGGCAAGGAACCAACAGTCTTCATATAAATAAGTTCGATCTGTAACACAGATATGCACACAAAACTCAATTTCTGGAACAGGTCTAAAGCCCAGAAGTAGACGAACAACCAAAACTTTCTACCCAAGTTTACAGCCCATAAACGTCTATAAAAAGATACACCGAGATCAAGATGGCATGGAATGAAGTTCCGCGCTGTTACATAATTTTCATAAAACATGTTTTTTAAACACCATTTCTGTGAAGGCTCCGGGGCCAATTATGGGGGGGGGGGGGAGAGGAAAATAGATCCACTGCATCCCTGACAAGCATGTCCTAAGAGTAGACTAATTATGAGTTTCCTTTGAAGCTGGAGTGCATCTGCCTGAAAAGTAAGGAACCAACAGTCTGCATAAAATCTCTGTAAAACATAGGTACACACAAAACTCAAGTTCTGGAATAAGACTAAAGTCCAAAAATGAATAAACAACAAGAACTTTCTGCTAGAGTTTACAGTCCGTGAAGCAAAGAAGAAAAAAAAAAGGAGAAGAAGAAGAGGATGATGAAAAGGAAGAGGTGGAGAAGGAAGAGGAAGCAGAGGAAGAAAGAGAAGCAAGGGAAGAAGAAGAAGGAAGAAGTAAAAAAAAAAAGAAGGAGAGGAGGAGGAGGATGATAAAGAGGAATAGGAGAAGGAAGAAAAAGCGGGAGAAGACAGAGGAGCAAGAGAAGAAGAAGAGGAGGAGGATGGTGAGAAGGAAGAGGAGGAGGAAGATGAAGCGGGAGAAGAAAGAGGAGCAAGAGAAGAAGAAGATATCAGCTATATAAATCTGAACTTACCAAACCATCCTCAATTGTTTTCTTGCACTTGTCATGACAATTACTGGCATCCTGTGATGAACACTTCACAGAAGTTTGGTCTGTGGGTTCCTCAGATTCCTCAGAAACTGACACCTCTGTTTCTTTCACGTCCACAGAAACAAGTAAATCGACCACACCGCTGTGACCATTTTCCTTCAATTTTTCTCTACTTGACTGGGGATTGGGAAGAAGTTTGGTTATATTTAATGAGTTCAATGCAGGTGTTTTCGAACTGGAATGGACATAAACCATAGGTCTGGGTTTGTGTTGTTTCTGACGAGACATAGTAGAGAAAATGAACACTACTCTGTCACAATAAAAATTGCAACAATATTATAAAATGTCCATTCTCACAACACTTAATGACCCTATCACTGAGTATCATATAACACTGCACTTTATGTTTATATATTATGCCATCGACATCCCATTGTAAAATTACATTGAAATAACATGTCAGTGAACAAACTAGAGGGATTCACATTGAAATAACAAGTCAGTGAACAAACTAGAGAGATTCAGGGTGTACACTTTTTTTATACCTAGGGTCGTGTTTGAACTGTGCAACGGTGTAAAGTGGCAAAACTTTGGGGCGGCACAAAAATAACTAGTAGGTTAAAAATATAGCAGTTCGTTTATTACTCGTATCATTATAAAAATTCGTCTTGTATCACAAATCACTGCTCCATTTGTTTCACAACGTGCACATTTTGTTTTTAATCTGTTAATACTGACAGCGTATTAATAATATTGTTTATGTATTGAGTTAAGTTTAAATATTTCAGTAAAGTTTAAAACTGAAGTAAATAATCTTTTTTAAAAAACCTGTTTTTAGTAGTCTGTAAACGATTAGAGATGCTGAATAAACGAACCGACTGCTGAATAAATCCACAGCTGCTCCGCTCTTCTCTCCAACAGCAGTCCAGTAGTCAATAATAATAATAGCAGACAGCACAAAACAACTGTAAGTCTCCACAGTTGTCTCTAATAAATAAGGAGTTAGGACTATCGTGGCATCACTATTCCGATCAAACCTATAGCTGCTCTGATCGCCTCTCCAAAATTTTCAGAAGCGTGAAACTACTACCAAAAGTAAAAATGTAAACGACAGATCAACGCATGTTGCGTGTTGTTTTGTTTACTGTCTCTATGTCAATACACGGAGATCTTGTCGCCCTCTCTGATTGGGTCAGCTAGCAGGGCTGCCGAAATTTTCAAGTTCGAGGTTTGAACAACGGATCAACATCATGGCAGATGGGTAGTAATCCATAAGTGCTCAGTTCTTCTTCTAACTCAAGTCCGAGTCCAAAGAAACTTAGCACAGTGCACAGGCTCTGTAGCACCGGCGAGGATCCTGAAATATTATGGGTAGATTTTGAACTCAAATTTTTCTCGGGTAGCGCTGTTAGACTACGTGCGTAACAATGCACACGGGCGTCTGATCTCACTACCCAGAGACCAGGCAAATTACAAGTAGTTCAAGTCCACGTGAATAAATCTCAGCCCTTACTGAAGATTGAAGAACCCGGGACCGCTAGCACTCGAGTCATTTACCATGCGACATTTGGCCTCAAGAACACGCAGCGCCCCCCCCCCCCCCCTTTCCCCCCACAATTATCTTAGGAATAGAAATAAATATATCTAGTTGTTAATTAAAACCCAAACAAGCGGAACAGCGCATAATTGCATTTGAATATAAATGTTACAGACAGGTTCTAAGAATATCTTGGGTAAAGAAAAGAACAAATGCATCCATACTTCAAGAGCTGAATATTGAAGAGGGTTGGCTAGTAAAGACAATAAAACAAAGAAAATTGAAATATTTTGGTCACTTGAAACGTCATGGAAGTCTAGAGAGAACAATAATGGAGGGGTATATGCCTGGGAAGAGAGGAAGAGGAAGGCCAAGGAGAAGATGGGTGCAGGATGTGGCAGATGATCTCCAGATGGGTGTATCAGACGCAGGACATCTTGCTCAGGATAGGAAGGTTTTCCGGAGGGTTGTTATGGCAGCGAGGTTCCGCGAGGGATATGCTACTGAATGAATGAATGAATTAAAACCCATCCAAACCCCTTTAAACATACACACACATATATATATATATATATATATATATATATATATATATATATATATATATATATATATATATATATACGTGGGTGTGTGTGTGTGATTTACCTTACATTATATCACTAACAAAATCCTTTTGTACATTACATCATTGCGGTACCATTTTCCCCACACAAGCTTTCATGTAGATAGAAGCACAGGACTATTCCCATGTGTGTGTGTGCTGAGTGATTCTTTGAGCATGATCCAGCGGGTCGAGGCGGGCTGGTTACGCAGACAGTGGTTTGAGTCACTGCAAAACTCTTCTGTGTGTGCAGTTACTTTCATGTTCGTCCAAAGTATGCAGGCGTTGTTGGTAATGAAAGAGCTGATATAGTGGCAGGTGCTGCATTAGTTGAAGATGACCGGCCCATGGATCACGCAGACATTGTCATTGCCCTTAGAGAGATAGGACGTTCTGAGGTTTTTGGAAGCAACGTGTCTACATCACTGCTAAGAATACTATTATTAGGTGTAAAGATCGGCACAGCCAAGCATGAGAAGCACACCGACCGCACTTGTTAACCAACATAGGACTCGCACTGTTAATCTCGTAACGCTGATGAATATGTTGAGAGGGGAATCTGGGCGCCTATGGATGTGTCCGGAGTGCTGTGAAGATAATCTAACTCATACCTCCCCCCCCCCCCCCCCATGTGTTACAAAGCTGTCATAAATTTTTAATGTATTTTTTGTTGAAGAGCGACGCTCCTGCACTAGCCTTTAAAACTAAAACAAAAGTCCACACCCACAAATGGTGCATTTGCATCAACCATTGACAAATTGCGACAAACTTATTTTCAGTACACTTCTAGTCATTTTTAATAGGTTTAACATTATCATTCATCATCATCATAAACCACGTCTGTCGTTAAGCGCCGTGGGAGGAAGAATTTGCGATCCAGCGCACACTGACTAGGTTCAACACAATGCTATGTAAAATATCGGTGCAAAATTTCTAAACACGTACTAAAAGATTGGACGTGGTACCAAAACTACAGTTCTACTTGTTAAGGTAAAGATGAGAGGATCGACTTCATCTCAGTGGGTTTTATCCCGAATGGCTTAGTCTCTCTCCGCAGAACGGTCAGCAGCCTAGCGAGAGCGTCCCACAAAGCACGACACCCGGCGGCATTCCCAGGGATCTCCGCAAAAATTGCACTCGTGAACTGAACTGCCATAAAACTAATCCTCCACCTTCAGAGCGCGAGGCAAAACGGTTTTGCATAAAATCTCTGTAAAACGTATGTACACACAAAACTCAAGTTCTGGAATAAGACTAAAGTCCAAAAATGAATAAACAACAAGAACTTTCTGCTAGAGTTTACAGTCCGTGAAGCAAAGAAGAAAAAAAAAGGAGAAGAAGAAGAGGATGATGAAAAGGAAGAGGTGGAGAAGGAAGATGAAGCAGAGGAAGAAAGAGAAGCAAGGGAAGAAGAAGACGGAAGAAGTAAAAAAAAAAAGAAGGAGAGGAGGAGGAGGATGATAAAGAGGAATAGGAGAAGGAAGAAAAAGCGGGAGAAGACAGAGGAGCAAGAGAAGAAGAAGAGGAGGAGGATGGTGAGAAGGAAGAGGAGGAGGAAGATGAAGCGGGAGAAGAAAGAGGAGCAAGAGAAGAAGAAGATATCAGCTATATAAATCTGAACTTACCAAACCATCCTCAATTGTTTTCTTGCACTTGTCATGACAATTACTGGCATCCTGTGATGAACACTTCACAGAAGTTTGGTCTATGGGTTCCTCAGATTCCTCAGAAACTGACACCTCTGTTTCTTTCACATCCACAGAAACAGGTAAATCGACCACACTGCTGTGACCATTTTCCTTCAATTTTTCTCTACTTGACTGGGGATTGGGAAGAAGTTTGGTTATATTTAATGAGTTCAATGGAGGTGTTTTCGAACTGGAATGGACATAAACCAGAGGTCTGGGTTTGTGTTGTTTCTGACGAGACATAGTAGAGAAAATGAACACTACTCTGTCACAATAAAAATTGCAACAATATTATAAAATGTCCATTCTCACAACACTTAATGACCCTATCACTGAGTATCATATAACACTGCACTTTATGTTTATATATTATGCTATCGACATCCCATTGTAAAATTACATTGAAATAACATGTCAGTGAACAAACTAGAGGGATTCACATTGAAATAACAAGTCAGTGAACAAATAGAGAGATTCAGGGCGTACACTTTTTTATACCTAGGGTCGTGTTTGAACTGTGCAACGGTGTAAAGTGACAAAACTTTGGGGCGGCACAAAAATAACTAGTAGGTTAAAAATATAGCAGTTCGTTTATTACTCGTATCATTATAAAAGTTCGTCTTGTATCACAAATCACTGCTCCATTTTTTTCACAACGTGCACATTTTGTTTTTAATCTTACTGACAGCGTATTAATAATATTGTTTATGTACTGAGTTAAGTTTAAATATTTCAGTAAAGTTTAAAACTGAAGTAAATAATCTTTTTAAAAAACCTGTTTTTAGTAGTCTGTAAACGATTAGAGATGCTGAATAAACGAACCGACTGCTGAATAAATCCACAGCTGCTCCGCTCTTCTCTCCAACAGCAGTCCAGTAGTCAATAATATTAAATAATAATAATAGCACTGAGACAGCACAAAACAACTGTAAGTCTCCGCAGTTGTCTCTAATAAATAAGGAGTTAGGACTATCGTGGCATCACTATTCCGATCAAACCTATAGCTGCTCTGATCGCCTCTCCAAAATTTTCAGAAGCGTGAAACTACTACCAAAAGTAAAAATGTAAACGACAGATCAACGCATGTTGCGTGTTGTTTTGTTTACTGTCTCTATGTCAATACACGGAGATCTTGTCGCCCTCTCTGATTGGGTCAGCTAGCAGGGCTGCCGAAATTTTCAAGTTCGAGGTTTGAACAACGGATCAACATCATGGCAGATGGGTAGTAATCCATAAGTGCTCAGTTCTTCTTCTAACTCAAGTCCGAGTCCAAAGAAACTTAGCACAGTGCACAGGCTCTGTAGCACCGGCGAGGATCCTGAAATATTATGGGTAGATTTTGAACTCAAATTTTTCTCGGGTAGCGCTGTTAGACTACGTGCGTAACAATGCAAACGGGCGTCTGATCTCACTACCCAGAGACCAGGCAAATTACAAATAGTTCAAGTCCACGTGAATAAATCTCAGCCCTTACTGAAGATTGAAGAACCCGGGACCGCTAGCACTCGAGTCATTTACCATGCGGCATTTGGCCTCAAGACCACGCAGCGCCCCCCCCCCCCCCCCACAATTATCTTAGGAATAGAAATAAATATATCTAGTTGTTAATTAAAACCCAAACAAGCGGAACAGCGCATAAATGCATTTGAATATAAATGTTACAGACAGGTTCTAAGAATATCTTGGGTAAAGAAAAGAACAAATGCATCCATACTTCAAGAGCTGAATATTGAAGAGGGTTGGCTAGTAAAGACAATAAAACAAAGAAAATTGAAATATTTTGGTCACTTGAAACGTCATGGAAGTCTAGAGAGAACAATAATGGAGGGGTATATGCCTGGGAAGAGAGGAAGAGGAAGGCCAAGGAGAAGATGGGTGCAGGATGTGGCAGATGATCTCCAGATGGGTGTATCAGACGCAGGACATCTTGCTCAGGATAGGAAGGTTTTCCGGAGGGTTGTTATGGCAGCGAGGTTCCGCGAGGGATATGCTACTGAATGAATGAATTAAAACCCATCCAAACCTCTTTAAACATACACACACATATAAATATATATATACGTGGGTGTGTGTGTGTGTGATTTACCTTACATTATATCACTAACAAAATCCTTTTGTCCATTACATCATTGCGGTACCATTTTCCCCACACAAGCTTTCATGTGGATAGAAGCACAGGACTATTCCCATGTGTGTGTGTGTGCTGAGTGATTCTTTGAGCATGATCCAGCGGGTCGAGGCGGGCTTGTTACGCAGACAGTGGTTTGAGTCACTGCAAAACTCTTCTGTGTGTGCAATTACTTTCATGTTCGTCCAAAGTATGCAGGCGTTGTTGGTAATGAAAGAGCTGATAAAGTGGCAGGTGCTGCATTAGTTGAAGATGACCGGCCCATGGATCACGCAGACATTGTCATTGCCCTTAGAGAGATAGGACGTTCTGAGGTTTTTGGAAGCAACGTGTCTACATCACTGCTAAGAATACTATTATTAGGTGTAAATATAGGCACAGTCAAGCATGAGAAGCACACCGACCGCACTTGTTAACCAACATAGGACTCGCACTGTTAATCTCGTAACGCTGATGAATATGTTGAGAGGGGAATCTGGGCGCCTATGGATGTGTCCGGAGTGCTGTGAAGATAATCTAACTCATACCTCCCCCCCCCCCCCCCATGTGTTACAAAGCTGTCATTGCGGCTTCAAGTTGCTGCAAATAATAAATTTTTAATGTATTTTTTGTTGAAGAGCGACGCTCCTGCACTAGCCTTTAAAACTAAAACAAAAGTCCACACCCACAAATGGTGCATTTGCATCAACCATTGACAAATTGCGACAAACTTATTTTCAGTACACTTCTAGTCATTTTTAATAGGTTTAACATCATCATTCATCATCAGCATAAACCACGTCTGTCGTTAAGCGCCGTGGGAGGAATAATTTGCGATCCAGCGCACACTGACTAGGTTCAACACAATGCTATGTAAAATATCGGTGCAAAATTTCTAAACACGTACTAAAAGATTGGACGTGGTACCAAAACTACAGTTCTACTTGTAAAGGTAAAGATGAGAGGATCGACTTCATCTCAGTGGGTTTTATCCCGAATGGCTTAGTCTCTCTCCGCAGAACGGTCAGCAGCCTAGCGAGAGCGTCCCACAAAGCACGACACCCAGCGGCATTCACAGGGATCTCCGCAAAAATTGCACTCGTGAACTGAACGGCACTGCCATAAAACTAACCCTCCACCTTCAGAGCGCGAGGCAAAACGGTTTTGCCCCCCCCCCCCCCTTCTCCCCAGTTTTGCTTGGCAAGGGTAAATAAGTACACAAGTTGAAGGAAAGTAACAACTTCGGCAGCTCTGCGCCAGGTAGACGAGGGCAGTTTTTCGGCCTAACTTTACAAACAGTATCTGGGCACATGGATAACATCTGATGGAAAATGCATTACTTAGATAAGAAACAAATTAGGACAGGCAAAAACTGCATTTTATAAAATGGAGAACATCTTATGCAATATATCTCTGTCATTCAAGATAAGAAAAAGAATGTTTGCTTGCTACATAAATCCAGTTTTAACATATGGCTGCGAGTCCTGGACAATCGGTAGGCAAGCCAAATAATTTATTGAGGCCTCAGAGATGTTGTTTTACAGAAGAATGATTCAAATACCTTGGACAGCCCCAAAAAAGAGCAACCAAGAGGTTTTGAAAGAGGCGGGAGCCCGAAGGCAACTTATCACAGACATCAGAAGGAAAATGAAACATGTTGTGACCTCTGGAAAGATCTGTGGAAGGAGGGATAAAGGAAAACAATGCAAGAAGATTCTTGACAGTCTTGTTGCATGGCGTGGAGGTGTGTCAGCACACAAACTGATATATGCTGTAGGAGATTGCAAATTGTGGAGAGGCTCAGCACTGTTTACTTTCTCCCAAAAGGCTGTCACAACATCTAGTTTGTCATACATCAATTTACCACCAAGTGGTGAAGAACTGGCAAGCCTATCTGCCTGCTCGTTTGCCAGTACACCAACCTGGAGAAAATATCCAAAGGATGCTTACTACCCGGGACTTCTAAAGTAATGCTTGCCACTCTGCATGAATTAATACTGTCTCCATCTATCTCAACATACTCTGTGAGTCCGTTACAATTACGACGTGTGTACAGCTGATTCTCAATCCAGTGGATGGTAGCAGTGACTGCCTCTACTTCCATTCTCAAACTAGACGATGTGATCACTTGATGGGTAATACAGTCAATATCACACTGGATAACAAACAAACCAAACACACAATTTAACAAAACAAAACTTTCCTTCAATAAAAAAAAAACTTGCAGAATTAGGTGTAGATTTCTTTATTGCAAATATATGTTACAACAGTATGGTATTCAAAAACATGTCATGCACTGTATAAACAACAACAGGAGGCAGTGGAGTTTCACCCAGAATTTCATTATTAATAATTAATATAAAATTATTACAAAGAAATACAAAAAACAGCAAACAGAAACATGTCTAGAAATGATACAAATATTCACCTAACTTCCCTGCGTAGGGGCCAGCGTCTGGGATTTCTGCCCTTCTTCTTCAGCCAGCCATTGATAAAGGCTTTGGGAAGAATGTTCAAAAGTTTCTAAGTGTGTACTTTTTCCTTCTACCCTCATGGAGCTTCCAAGTCACAGTTTGGCTTCGGTGAATTCACCAACCACGTCTAGACATATGCAATGTAAACGATAAGGTAAGAGGCTAACAAAGAATTACATCAAGTACAGACTACATAAACTACTAAGTTCACAAACCATAATAAACATTTCAGTGGTAAGGCATGCATAGGATTCTACATTCAGACATTCGATTCACACTTTGCCCCACATGTTAATGCAAGTTTTTTCTAGACTATCTACACAAATTAAACTGAATACTTGTTTTAGTATCTTTACTCACTACAAAACAACTCATGTTAATACTGTTGCCAATCTCTCCCTCTGTTAGCAGACAATCCACACTGTCCATACTCTGTGGGTATCTATCACTTATTGAACTGCTTCGCAACAAACTCCTCTCCCTTCTTGATGTTTGCAATCAGCTCAGGCATGGCAGCGGTCACCAGGTTGCGCTCATAGTCCAGCAGTTTTCCAATTCCAAGATTCTTCTCGATGCCATGTTTCTGGAAATGAACATAAATTCAGAAATAAATTCTTGTAAGGAACAGTCTACACAAACATTTCCATAATTGCAGTATTTTCACAAAAGAAAAAACTGCACACAGTATTATGAAGTTCGACCCTTGTATTCCTAGGACACAAGAGGAAAAGATAACAGCAGAGAAACTCTACAACAATATGATGTGTCTATGGTCAGGGCAGCCAGAAGAGCAAGGAGCAGGACCTTATATCAACACCTGTGACTACCTGGAGTCTATTTGTATGTTCCTGTGGTTGCACTGCTGTTATTTCTATGACTGCCTGAATGATGAAGAATCAACATCACAGCACTCGGGACACCCCCAAAAGCGCTTCATCCCCATCTTCAGCAGCAAGCGAAGAGTTGAAATTCTGATGGTACCAGTAACTGTCTGATTGTATATCTGTCTCGCCTTTCCCCTGAGTGTCGAGTGTCAGCCAGATCCCCTTGTAACCCCTTGCAGTGCCATTCTCCTCAGACCATAATGATCTATCTGTTCCTTGGCACCGTTCAGTCGCTCCCAAAGGGCCCTCACAACATCCAGCTTGTCATACATCCATTCACCACCAAGTGGTGCAGAACCAGCCAGTCTATCTGCCTGCTCATTTCCCAAAACACTATCAAGACCTGGAGAAAATATTCAAAGGATGCTAACTATCTGGGACCTCTGAAGTGATGCTTGCCACTCTGCACAGAGCATTGACTGCCTGTTCACTGGTAAAAAGCAATTTATTCAGTAATTCTCCAATGTTGTCCCCTTTGCTGGTCTTAGCTGATTTGGAAATTTTGTCGACGAATGTGATGTACAGTAGTAGTGATAGAACGCACCCCAGTCTCACTCCAGATCAAATGTAGAACTTTTCTGACATTTCTGTATTTGTTTTAACTGCGCATTGACTGTTCACATATAAACTCTAGCACAATTCAATAAGGTGTTGGTTTACTCCGTAATCTTTGTAGCACAGCAACAATTTCAACACAAAAATGGAAACAATGTTACTTACCCCTAACAAAATGGGAGTTGCAAAGTATTTAGCCTCTGTCTCATCTGAACGCACAAAAGCGCACATCACTTTACCCTCAGTTCCGTTCAGCGCATCAAGTACAGCGTTGGCAAACTCAGCAGCTGCATAAGCCATTGACAATGTTGCTGATCCCTGTGTAGACAAAGATTTATACAGAAAACACTGACAATGTTGCTGATGCCTGTGTAAAGATTTATACAGAAAACACTGACAATGTTGCTGATGCCTGTGTAGACAAAGATTTATACAGAAAACACTGACAATGTTGCTGATGCCTGTGTAGACAAAGATTTATACAGAAAACACTGACAATGTTGCTGATCCCTGTGTAAAGATTTATACAGAAAACACTGACAATGTTGCTGATGCCTGTGTAGACAAAGATTTATACAGAAAACAGTGACAATGTTGCTGATGCCTGTGTAGACAAAGATTTATACAGAAAACACTGACAATGTTGCTGATGCCTGTGTAGACAAAGATTTATACAGAAAACACTGACAATGTTGCTGATCCCTGTGTAAAGATTTATACAGAAAACACTGACAATGTTGCTGATGCCTGTGTAGACAAAGATTTATACAGAAAACAGTGACAATGTTGCTGATGCCTGTGTAGACAAAGATTGATACAGAAAACACTGACAATGTTGCTGATGCCTGTGTAGACAAAGATTGATACAGAAAACACTGACAATGTTGCTGATCCCTGTGTAGACAAAGATTTATACAGAAAATAATTGACAATGTTGCTGATGCCTGTGTAGACAAAGATTTATACAGAAAACAGTGACAATGTTGCTGATGCCTGTGTAGACAAAGATTGATACAGAAAACACTGACAATGTTGCTGATGCCTGTGTAGACAAAGATTGATACAGAAAACACTGACAATGTTGCTGATCCCTGTGTAGACAAAGATTGATACAGAAAACACTGACAATGTTGCTGATCCCTGTGTAGACAAAGATTTATACAGAAAATAATTGACAATGTTGCTGATGCCTGTGTAGACAAAGATTTATACAGAAAACAGTGACAATGTTGCTGATGCCTGTGTAGACAAAGATTGATACAGAAAACACTGACACTGACAATGTTGCTGATGCCTGTGTAGACAAAGATTGATACAGAAAACACTGACAATGTTGCTGATGCCTGTGTAGACAAAGATTGATACAGAAAACACTGACAATGTTGCTGATGCCTGTGTAGACAAAGATTGATACAGAAAACACTGACAATGTTGCTGATCCCTGTGTAGACAAAGATTTATACAGAAAACACTGACAATGTTGCTGATGCCTGTGTAGACAAAGATTTATACAGAAAATAATTGACAATGTTGCTGATCCCTGTGTAGACAAAAATTGATACAGAAAACACTGACAATGTTGCTGATCCCTGTGTAGACAAAGATTTATACAGAAAATAATTGACATTGTTGCTGATCCCTGTGTAGATTAAGATTCTGATAAAAAACATGAAAAATTCATATTTTTTGTTTAATCAGCACTGATAAAATGGACATGCAAGAAGCATAAAGTAAAAGACATAACATAACAACTGTAAGATACAGCACAATGAGATCCCAAGGTCTCCACGTGATGAAAGCGTCCCAACGCAGGTACACGTGTCGACTGATGCAGGACCAGATATTCTAAAGCAAATGCCATCCTCGGCTAGGTATTTAGAACAGCAAGGAGAAGAAGAAGCTTATTTCTCCCTCCAAACCTGAAGTGATAAAAGAGGGAAGTGAAGAACAGGAAGCCAGGTATCAATCTGAACAATACTGCCTTTTAGACCAGTTAACACAGAAGAATATCTGGGAGGAAGGCGAGAGGAAGACCAAGAAAGAGTTTGATAAATGGTGTAGCCGAAACCTACAAAAAGATGAACAAATCCATCACCCAAGCCACACGAGAAGCGCAAGACACAGAAATCATGACACTGGGCTATAACCTGGTATCAGTGAGATGACAAGAAGAAGAATTCCAATGAACCTATTATGGTAACTGATACCCAATGGGTGAAGTGGACAGTAACCTGGCAGGCAGATAACACCCAAACATGTTCTCTGAGCTTGGAGCATTTAATACAGTTTCAAGGAAAGATTCACAAGTATCTAGCTTATGTAGCCAGACACAGAAAAAGACAAAAATTTATTATCATGTAGCAGGTCTTTTGCAGAACATCGCTCTCATCGCGGTCTGCCCGAGAGAAACTCAGTCTCTCACCAGATCTCCTGTCTCATGCACTTTCATATTCAAGGAATCACTTATATCCTATGCCCATCTTCGTGTTGGTCTGCCCCTGCCCTTCCTTCCTGGTACCATGCCATCTGCTATTATTTTTCAAAACCGCCGTGGCGCTTGATATGAAAGAATATTTCAGCTTCAGAGACAGGATGCTGTTTACTAGTCAATCTTCCTTGATGTTCAGATCTTTTAAAATGTCAGTATTTCTTCTCTTCTTTGTCCATCGTATTCTGAGAATCTTTCTATAGCATTTCACCTCAAAAGCCCCTATGTTCTTTCTTAAGGACTTGGAGATAGCCCACGACTCACATCTATATCTCTCAGAATTTTAACTTTGACTTCCTTGCTGGTGCTTAACCACAGACTTTTAATTCTGTTTAATCTTTGTATTGCTATGGCCATCCTCCTCTTTATTTCTGTCAAACAGTCTCCATTGCTGTCTATCAGGGAGCCCAGATATTCAAAGTCTGTGACTGACATTACTGTGGTATTTAATTTTCTAAAGTCCCCCATAAATAATGTCTTACTATGATATTAAATGATTTCCCATGAAAATAAAAGTCTATTAAAAACCTCATATACCAGTGAGAACAACTGTCCTAGTAGATGAAGTTTAATAGAAGAAATACTAAAAACCTCATATACCAGTGAGAACTGGCCTAGTAGATGAAGTTTAATAGAAGAAATATTAAAAACCTCATATACCAGTGAGAACAACTGGCCTAGTAGATAAGTTTAATAGAAGAAATATTAAAAACCTCATATACCAGTGAGAACAACTGGCCTAGTAGATGAAGCTTAATAGAAGAAATACTAAAAACAAAATCTTACAGCTCCAGCTTTGGCTTCAACAACTTCTGTACCAGCATTCTGAATCCTGACTGTCAATTTGACTCTCTCCTCCTGAAATTGAACAGAAAGAAAATGGATGTTACCTATCTACTTTCATGTTTCCCACTCAATGGTAATAGTGTTAACTAAAGCAATGACTGGCTACAGAACATATCTTTTCTTCTTTTGCATGCAAGCTTTCTAATTGATTACATGAACATGCTTAAGAAGATCGAGAAAGGATGGTTTAGAAAGACAATGGTTGGAGACTCTAGGGAAATCTCATTTGACAGGAATCAAGTTTCATTTTTATGCCTGGATACTCTGGAGTAAGAAGGATTGAATGAGCAGATTGGCTTGCTGGCAAGGCTACAGTAGGCACAGGAAATGTAATGGACCAGGTCAAGGCTGTCAAAGCAAGCAGGACAAGCAGATAATTCATAAGACTGCGATGTATCTTGCCAAGGCTACAAGAATTTTATATCAAAAAAGGTGTTGAAAGATATGAATACTATCAGGTAGCCAAAGAAGAATAGTAAATCAACAACAACAAAATAACTGGTGTTGTCAGCCGCCACACGCTGAGAGAGATAATGAAGATGGAACCTGAGTGCTTTGGACTTGTCTGATGTGTGATGAGGATGATCAGTTAATTTACTAAACAACTGTTAAATACTACTACTTCTTAAATGTTCGTTGGCATGGTGTGTTGTGGTTTAGAGCCAGGTTGTGCATTTCGGCCAAACACATCCAATTTCAGCAAGACCTTAATCTGCCGCCTTTTAGAACATTAAAAGGCAGTGGTTCCCCCCCCCCCAAACAGGGATACTAATTGTGAACATAATTAGCTAACTAAAATAAACTCATACAACTATATTTCTATGAAGAAGAAACAAACAATATATTGCCCAATTTACTGCCTGGCATATTTCGATGTATCTTGTCAGGTGCATACTAAGGTAACAACTTGTTTGCACTGGTGAAAAAGTTTTTGAATGCAGTCGATTTTGTGTGTCTGTTCAAAGAATTGACTTATTTGCTTCATTTTAATCAACTGTTACTGTAGTATGTACTTGCTGAGACACAGTGAAGTATGCCAGACAATAAATTGTGCAATCTACAGTTGGTGCCTTCTTTGGTTCAAATTCACAACCTGGAAACACTGCTGTCATTTTCTGAAACTATATTTCTTCTTCATTTGCAGCTTTCTGTGTCAGCAGTTTTCCTTGGCACAATCATTTCCATAAATTCATCATGATGCTGCTATAGTCCAACAGTTTTGGACTCTTCTGATCCAATTTATACTCTGTCCATCATCTTAGGTGCTTCAATGCATGGCATACCATATTCTTTGCATTCATCGGCTGTAAATTCTGGAGGAAAGTTCCGGCTGTCCTTCCACTTGTAGACTTTAGTTGTGTACCAGAACTTGAAATCTGCATGCACATCCGTTTTACAGATCTGTTGTATATTGTATGCAGACTGTTGTTCCTCACCTCTCAGGAAGATCCACTTGGAAGAAGCAGCCCAAATTAGTTGCTCCTTTTGACATACCTGTTGAATGAGCTGGTGAACTATGACAATGATGACATGGTCAAATCAGGTATAAATCTTACCTGTGGGAACGAAACTGCAGGTGTACACTGAGAGATAACTGGTACAATAGTGATACCACTGTGGCCTCCGATAACTGGACATTCCACCTTGGTCACATCAAGATCCTGGAGAAAAACATTCATGCATTATACCAAACTTTCTTCATGTGGCCCCATTTTGGGGGAAGACATGAACAGACCCACTGGCTCCCCAACAAGCATATCGTAAGAGTAGCCGAAAGGCAAGGAACCAACAGTTAGAATTATGCTAGATCCTTAAAATGGATGTTCATACAACACTCAGGTTCTGAAACAAAACTAAAGTCCAGAGGTGGACAAACAACCAGAACTTTCTACCAGAGTTCACAACCGGTGAATGCAAAGAAGAAGCTTCGTTCTCTTCAGCAAATCTATCTGTAGCAGAGTCTTGTGTAAAATCCCTACATTTCAGCTTTTACACTCCATCAACTTATACACATCAGCTTTCAGCAAACCCTTAATTAGTTACCTTTTACACTCCATCAACTTATACACACCAGCTTTCAGCAAACCCTTAATTGGTTACCTTTTACAACATGACTGTTAGGGAGCTATGGGTCTATTCTCCTGTCCCAAAATGGGGCCCCAGAACCCACACGGTGGAAAACCTATAAATGTAGCTCAGACTATTAATTATACTGTTGAAATAAATTATACTGTTGAAAAAAATCATACTGTTGAAATAAATCATACTGTTGAAATAAATTATACTGTTGAAATAAATTATACTGTTGAAATAAATTATACTGTTGAAATAAATTATACTGTTGAAATAAATTATACTGTTGAAATAAATAATACTGTTGAAAAAAATCATTCTGTTGAAATAAATTACACTGTTGAAATAAATTATACTGTTGAAATAAATTATACTGTTGAAAAAAATCATACTGTTGAAATAAATCATACTGTTGAAATAAATCATACTGTTGAAATAAATCAAACTGTTGAAATAAATTATACTGTTGAAATAAATAATACTGTTGAAAAAAATCAAACTGTTGAACTAAATTATACTGTTTAAATAAATCATACTGTTGAAATAAATTATACTGTTTAAATATATCATACTGTTGAAATAAATTATACTGTTTAAATAAAATATACCGTTTAAATAAATCATACTGTTAAAATAAATTTTAACGATGAAATAAATTTTACCGATGAAATAAATAAATCTCTCACCTTTGCCGCAGCAATGAAAGTGTTAGATCTGACAACATCGAGAGTGGTGACACCGAATACACGTTTCTCATCATAAACACCACGTCTTTTCAACACCTCGGAGGCAATAGGTACAGTAGAGTTCACCTGAAAGATTCAATACCACAACTGTTCATTCTGAGTTATCCACAGACAATACAATAACATCTTACCAGCCCAAAAGTCTAGGGTTCAAATTGGCATCGAAGCAGATTTGTAATAAAAATTGGACTTGGTTGGCGGGTCGACTCGGCCTAAAATGGATACAGGTAATATCACGTGTAGCAAGGATGGCAAGCACGATGATGACCACAACACCCAGCGAGTGTTGGTTAGTCGAAAAAAATATAGGTCTAGAACTATACGCTAGATGGGGAACTGCTGTGGTGAAGTGGCTAGGCGTTCACCTGCAGATTTTTGGCCCAGCCTTAAAGGGGTACCAGGTAAAGTCCTGGGAAGTAAAGGCGGTCGGCATGATGTTGACCTGACCACAATGCCCACCGAGTGGTCTATAAAATATAGGTCTAGCCCTATATGCCCAATACACCTGAAGATGTGGAAAAGGGACCTTTTACTATACACCAGATGTGTAACTAGCAGTATAAACAAGATGTACCAAAGACAAAAAAAAAAAGGTCCTATACATTTGAATTAATACCATAACTCACTCAAGATGACCAGCTCTAAAAATGTGATGTCTTATAAAAGTGGGATACAGCAAAATTACAAATTTTGAGGGGCGGAGATAGATCGTCTAGTCGGCACTCCTCTAAATAACGGCCCCAAATTATCTAGGTCAAAATACTACCCTTACAGGGCCGCAACAGTTCCTGCCGTTTGAGTTGCATCCATAACCCTTTAACTGTTTGGGTGTTAGGGTTAGGGCTAACCTTAATTCTAACACCGCCACGAAAATCTGTCACAACAGTCCACCAGTGAAACTAGCGATATCGGATATTTGCAACAAGAACAAGTGTTTCATATTATCTGTATGAAGCTAGCCAATGCAACCGTTGTAGTTTATTATTCAGTAATATATACAAGTCGGCAGGTTTAACATCTACAGTTGCCATTTTATCAATCTGTAGAATACTGTTAATCTGTGTCGGAGTTGATGGTCTACCTGCCATATTTGCTGGACATAAATCTATCCTAATTTTACATATCACTGAGGCCCTGTAAGGGTGCGTTTTTGATCTAAAAAATTTAAGGCCATTATTCGGAGCAGTGCCATCTAGTCTATCAGAACAGTCAGATTAGTAATGATTGCCACTTACATGACCGACATAGTCAGTTGAGGCCCCAATCGCTTCCATAGGGCAGCTCTCAAGCTGCGGTCCGAAAGCAGCGAACATGCTTTTTTTTACAAACCAATCCACTGCAGGAATCAATTGTCACCTTTCCGTCTTTCCAGACGATAGTGTCCAGTGACCTTTTACTATACACCTGCAGGAATCAAGCCCTAGTATTTAAGGAACACGAAACTGTTAAACACATTCACTAGCAGGTGTCACTGTTGTGAAGCGGCTAGATGCTTGCCTGTGGATTGGAAGGTCATGTGCTCGGGTTCTGACAGAGCTGGACTGTTTTCAAAAATGACATTGACTTCCAGGTGCTGACCACATCACCCACTAAGTGTCTATTGGTCTATAAGAATATAGATCTAACCCTACATGCCCAATACGCCTAAACATGCAGAAAAGGGTCCTTTACTTTTTACTTTAACTCACTAACTTAAAAGCCACAGTGTGACCTTAAATTATCTAAGATACAAACAATGCGCGTCCATGCACAGATACTCACAGGGTTTGTGATGATTGCAATTATGGCCCTTGGGCTGTACTGAGCACAGACATCCACTAAGTTAGCCACAATACTGGCATTAGTGTTGAAAAGATCGTCTCTGGTCATACCTGGTGGAATATATCAACACATTCTCTCTTAATACCAAACCAAAAGATTGTCTCTCGCCTTTTACTACCAAACTAACATATAATTACATGAAAATTTCTTATGAAACTAACCTGCAGATGACATGAAAAGCTTTTTCGCACTACCAGATGAAGATGACAAGACGAAAACCTTGCTTCTTCTTACCAAACTAACATGCAGAGTACATGAAAACATTTTATCTAATTATCAAACTCACATTTAGATTACATGAAAACTTTCTAATACATTTTCTCTTATTACCAAACTCACATGTAGATTAAATGAAAACTTTCTAATTACCTAACTAAAATGTAGATTACACTAAAAAAATTTATCAAATTATCTAACCAATACATCATCTTTGGCCACACATGCAGTTTACATGAAAACCTTTATTATTGCCAAACTAACATGTAGATTACATAAAAATGCTTTTATCTTATTAATAATTCAATGTGTACATTCTGGGAAAAACTTTCCACACATTACCAAAACCTACAGATCGTCTCTTATTACCAAACTAACATTTATATTACATGAAACTGTTCCATTTATTACCAAACGAACATGTAGATTACATAAAACCTTTCTATTACCAAACCAACAGATCGTCAGCTATCATCCGAATAACGGGCACATATTATGGTGGCCGCAAAAACACCCTAACAGGGCCTCAGTTGCATGTCAATTGCGCACTTTGGCCATTTAATTTGCGGACTTCTGGTGACTACCACCACCACCGAGAGCATCCCCCACCACGCTACGAGCGGCGTGGATTGGGACTAAACTAGATGGCTGGGACTCACGAGCAGCACCTTCCGCATCTCCTGCAGCTCTGCTTGTGTTTTATTGTACATCTTCCATCTTTCAAGATCCTAACTGGCATTACTGCTAGAGAGAGTTAACACTGACAGTCATACTCTGATGACATCGACTTTCTTAAGAAAAAATTCCAAAACCACTAACTGGCATTAATGCCTGTATTTACCACACCTGTAGTGCAAGCAGGTTGGTCACTGTGCCAAAGAATTTTGGGTCGCGTGGCTAGTGCAGTTGCCACGAACTGTGCAGGTTCAGAATTTCTTTTTGCCACCTAGAAACCAAATTCATAAGCTTACACAGGATTCAAACCTGGGTCTCCCACATGAGAACATGGCAGCCATCCCGCAAAACCTAACACGGTTAACAAACGGTGGGAAGGAAGTTGGGTATGTTGGCCAAAGAGCACAATATACCAGTTTTGTACTAGGGGCAGCAGTTAAATCAAGCAATCCCCCCCCCCCCCCAAGAAAGAGAATGTAAGTGAAAGGAGAAAGTAAAGAAAAGGACATATTAGGGTTTATTAGGCATATAGTGCTGGACCTTTATTTTACAGTCCAATCAGCATTCGATAGGTGATGTGGTTATCATCACACTAGCCCCCTTTACTTCCCAGGATTTTGTCCGGTACCATTTAAGGCTGGATCAACCTGGGAGCCAATGTACTTTTAAAAAAAAAAGTCTACGTCTCCAAATTTGACCCCGAGACTTATAGGTTCACAGGTGAGTGTTTAACTGCTACACCATGGCAGCTCGCCTGATGAATGTAAGAGAAGAATGATATTTCTACTACAAGCGAATACCTGGCTTCCTTGGGACTCCGGCAGGTATCACAACCAAATGGGCATCTTTCACACACTCTGCCAGCTGATCGGCTCCGAGATGACCTGTGACTTTGGCCCTAGTGTCTATGTGGCTGACATCTGCAGCAACCCCAGGGGTGTGAGCTATATCATAAAGTGCTAAGTGTGTAACCAAAGGTGACTGCTTCAGCAGAAGTGACAGGGGCTGACCAATTCCCCCAGCCGCACCCAGCAAAGCAACCTTTGCATCATTCTGTAAATAAAGAAAGAACGCTGTCATTTTCAACCCCACAGCAAAGCAACCACCGCCAGCGGTGTTAGACAAGGTGATATTCTCTCACCTTACGTCTTCATTCTTATGATGGATGATGTCATCAAGACCTGTAAAGAGAAGACAAAGAAGTACTCTGTAGGGTACTGGAAGATGAGACCAATCTGTATATCAGAGCTGGCTTTTGCAGACGATGTGGCCCTGATAGCTAAATCAGAGGCACACCTTCAGTCCAACTTACTTGTCTGAAAGGAAGAGCTTGAAAAGAAAGGGATGACCATCAGTATCTCCAAAACTAAAACCATGGTGATCTCAAGAGAGGAGAAGAAACACCAGATCATGATGGGACAGTATGCATTGGAGCAGGTTAACCATTTCAAATACCTTGGAGTTGTACTAGACCAAAACGGAGGCATTAAGACTGAGCTGGCTACACGAAAAGCAGCTGCTGGGAGACTCTTCCAGGCCATAAACCAAGGGTTTCTTAGCAAAAAAAAATTGGCAAGAGGACGAAAATGGCTGTTTACCGCTCTACCATGTACCAGTCCTGACCTATGGGTGTGAGTCATGGGCAATGACAACAGCTCACAGAAGCCAGCTGCAGGCCTCGGAAATGAGATACCTGAGAAAGGTGGTCCAAGTGACAAGAAGGGACAAAGTCCGCAATCAGACAATACGTCAAGATCTTCATACCCAGCCCTTTCTAACCCGAGTAGATCAGTCACAGTTACGATGGTTTGGACATGTATGCAGAATGGGAGAAAATCGGCCACCATGGCAAGCATGGGAGGCTAAGAACCAGGGAACCAGACTTCCAGGACGACCCAGGGTGCGCTGGGAAGACAACATCCGACAGTCCCTAACTGACAGAGGACTGGAATGGAACAAAGCCAGAAAGAAAACTGCTGATAGAGACGTCAGGCGATCTCTCTGGCAAACCTCTACACCCCAAGGTAGAAGAGGAGCGACTATGTAAGTAAGCAAAGCAACCTTTGCATCATTCTGTGAATAAAGAAAGAACACTGTCATTTTCAACCCCACAGTAAAGCAACCTTTGCATCATTCTGTGAATAAAGAAATAACACTGTCATTTTCAACCCAACAGCAAAGCATCATTCTGTGAACAACAAAAAAATTAACTGTAATTTTTACCCCCCCCCCCCCCCCCCCAATCAACCTCTACATCATTCTGTGAATAAAGAAATAACACTGTTATTTTCAATTACCCCGCCACCTCCCCCCCCCCCCCCCCCCAGCTGCCTTAGCAAAGCAATATTCACCTCATTCTGTGAATGAAGAAAGAACACTGTCATTTTCAATGCACACTACTCCTACCTTACCGCTCAAGCCGCTGCATTCCGACTTTGAAGAAAACAATCCTAAACTGTTTATTTTCCCACAGGCTTGATAGACTAGTTAGAGGGCAGTAGGACAATATTGACAATCCCCTGCCCCTCAAAATGGGGCTCTGGAGTCCTGTGTTTGTTAAAGTATTGAACTAGCGAAATTTTAAACTATTGTTAGTTTTCCCTTTATCCTCCGCTGGTACACTAACGTACAGAAAGAGTTACAAACTGACAGTCATATTGATATTCTGATGACATCGATTTTCTTAGGAACAAATTTCAAAACTTCTACTTCTACTTCTACAACTTATCTTATAAGTCTGGTAAAATGAACTGAAGCGAAAATTACTATTATTTGCTGCCCTAAACGGTAGACAAAATATAATCTACAAATAACTACTTAAGCTAACTGCTTTTTCAAAGTATTGCAAGCAACTTCAATTAAGAAAAAAAAATCAAAGTCTCCTCAGAAAGTAAAATTTCCAAAGACCTTGACAAGAATTGGTCATTTGGAACAACATTTCTCAAACATTCTCATTCTGGCCACGATAAGATGCAAAATGCCGACTTCGAATTAATTTAAGCAATATGTTCTGCAATGCAAGTTACCTTTCCTGAAGTGGATAAATGTTTTCTTGTCACAGAAATAACTTGAGCTGGTTTGGCTAATCTGGAGAACATCTTGAAGCGTGTGAGACCAGACACTTGCAGACGAAATGTCACTTTACCGGAAGGGCTTGTAATAGCTACGCATGCGCGTTCACTGGAGCGTAGTTCTTTCTTCTTGCTGGTGCCACATATGGCTTATTTAACTCTTTCCCTATCAGTGAAGTGTTTGATTCTTTCTTCCTCTTGGTTCGCAGGTCGACCCAGCCTAAAGTGGGTACCATGATGTATGTCCTGGGGAAGTAAAGACGGTCGGCGTTATGCTGACCATATTACCCACCTAGTGCCGTTAGGTCTGTAAAAATATGGGTCATCATCATAAACCACTTGTGCCATTAAGCGGCTTGGGGAGGAATAATTTGCGATCCACGTTGGATGCCACTGGCTATTGTCATGCCGTAAAGGCGCAGAGTGTCTTTAATGTTGTCGATCCATGTTTACCTCGGCCGTACTCTTGCTCTTGTAGCTGATCTTCTGCAGTGCTTGTGACGGTATTTGATCTTGCTGCATTCTAACGAGATGGCCAAACCACTCGATCTGCTGTTTCTCGGTAAATCTAGTACAAGGTGTCGTTCCCACAGTGTGCCTGATAGTTTCATTATTAACGCGATCTCGGATGGTTAGGTTAGCTGCTTTTCTCAGGCACCTCGCAGGTGGTGATTTTGCATATATGGGCTTTAGATAGTGTCCATGTTTGGCAATTGTAGCTTTATGTTGGAATGAATATGCTGTTAATAATCTGTCTCTTTGCACTCATAGTTATGCTTAATAATAGTGACAATTGGTAAATAAGTGCACTTGCTTTCTGACATATGGTTTCTGTTTCTCTGTCAAGTCTACCATCTTCTGTGATCATACTTACTATATATTTAAACACCCTAACTTGATTCAGGTCAGAACAATTCAACTGTGTGTAGTGATGCAGGAGTTCTAACTTGCATTGTTTCAGTTTTGTTTGCATTTATTTTCATGTTGTATTTACTGCATGCTGAGTTTAACCTGTTAATGTGGTCTTGAAGTCAATCTTCTTCAAGGTAAAACAAGCACTGGTCGCCAGCAAATAGTAGTTCGTTTAATGTGGTTGAATCGATAACTTCTCCTGATGTGTGTACTTCCTCGTGATTATAAACATCTATGTTGTCTGTATCAGAACTTGCTTCTTTAGATATTCTGTCTATATTAATGTTAAATAAAAGTGGGGAGAGCACACATCCCTGTCTCATACCTATGTTGACTGTGAACATGTCTGATATGCCTTCTTGTGTTTTTATTGCACTTTGGCTTGTGTGGTACATGGCTATGATGTTCTCTAATAACTGTCATTGTACCATGTAGTTCAAGAATAGACCACAGTTTGTTTCTTTCCACTCTATCGAAAGCCTTTTCCTGATCTACAAACACAATATTCTGTTTGGTATTATACTCAATGGTTTTCTCACACACTTGCCTCAGAGTTAACAATGCATCTGTGCACCCTCTGCCTTTTCTAAAACCGAATTGTGATGCACTCAACTGTTGTTCAGCTAAGGGTCTATCTCTCTGTTCTAGTAATTTGGCATACATTTTCCTACGTGACTCAGTAGTGATATGCCACTGTATGCTTCACATTCTCTCCTATTACCTTTCTTTTTCCATATCGGTACTATTAGTGCCTGTTGCCACTCAGCTGGGACTTTTCTTTCTCCCTAAGCTATATTAAAACTTCTAGTAAGCCATTTAACACCCACTTCTCCGCATGCTTGGATCCCTTCTGTATTTATTCCATTCAGACCTTGTGCTTTGTTTCTGGGGCTATTCTGTATAACTGCTCGTACTATGAAATTTGGTTCCTCTTGTTCGCAGCTTTGAGGTACAAAGTTAAAATTGTCTACGTTGCCTGTGAGGTTGAGAAGTTCTTTAAGATTCTCTGCCAATCTTGCCAACCTCTGTTGTGGACTAAAAAGAGGTATGCCTCTCTTGTCCCTGATAGTTGTTGGGTTGTAGCTTATGTCTCTTTCTCCCATGATTTTTACATGTTTATAAATTCTCTAGGGGAGTTTTTGCTGAGGGTAGCCATCTGTTGATCATAATTTCCCCAAGACTCGTCTTTAGACGCTTTAATATTGCGTTTTGCTTCTCTTCTTACTAATCTGTAATGGACATAATTTTGATGTGGTTTTGGTATTAGCCATTTTTTAAATATAAAATATGGGTGCTCTTCCTCTTGATGCCACATATTTGTTAACTCTTTCAGTCCCAAGCAGTTATTATTTTAACTCATTCTACTCCAAGAATTTAGGCTTAAAATAAAAAATTCTTAAGCCTGGACGAGATCAACAAAGACACTTCGGGGCAGAAGTAGTTTAACTAATAATTCCAATAGAAGGGGTTAATATACGAACTGTGCGTCACAGAAGACGCAAGGATATCACATTATCTTTAAAAGGGCCAAGGATCCGCAACTGCGTGTACCATTTCGTGTGTTGGCCCCTCCCCTGATGCCATGTCACAGAGTTTTGAGGTATATTACAGATCTAGCTGTCCCATCAGTTAGATCGCCTTCTCTCAATGACCACCACATGTTTTGGTCCACTGCCGCCTATTCTGTCCAGTTTCTGCCTCTGACTGACTGACATTTTACCGCACCAGTACATGACACCGAGCAATAAACACCCGGTGACACAAAGTGCCACCATTCGGGGGAGGATTACCCGAGGACATGTCCTAGAAACCCCGTTGAACCCACAAGGTTATATTTGGGAACCCGGCAACAGCCGAAGTAGGGCTACAAAATAACGAGACAACGATTAGGAAGTAACATGTATTCAAGTGTGGGTGGTCTCACTTCGTTTCCCAGTTTTTACCTTCTGATGACATCCCGAAAGAAGGTGTCACCGGGTGTTTATAGCATAGTGTGATGTCCTGGTGGGGTTGAAAATTAATCAATCAATTTCATAGAAAACATTACCTCTGCAGCATGCGTATAATTAC